TCATTGGATAACAAGAACGTTGACCTTTTGACCTTGACCTTGGAGTATTAACTACTTTTTAAAAATTATAACCTTGGTCACAACTTTTGAACGGTAGACACAAGGACTTTTATATTTCACATATATATTCTTTGTGGCAAGACCTTTCATGGGATACCAACAACTTTGACCTTTTGACCTTGACCTTGGAGATTTACGTACTTCTGACAAAACTTTAACCTTGACCATAACTTTTAAACAGTAAGGGCTAGGGCTTTCGTACTTCACGTATGTAATTCTTGTGAGAAGACCTTTCATTGCATACCAAGAACTTTGACCCTTTGACCTTGACCTTGGAGTTTTAACTACTTTTTAAAAACTTTAACCTTGGTCACAACTTCTGAACGGTAGAAACTAGGAATTTCATATTTTAAATATATGTATTCTTTGTGGCAAGACCTTTCATGGGATACCAATAACTTTGACCTTTTGACCTTGACCCTAAAAAATAATATCTCGCCCACAAAGACACCGAAAGCGGGGGACCACAATTCTTTGAATTTGCTTGTTTAATTTTCATTTTTAAACGAAAATTATCCGGAACTGCTTAAAATCAGAAACTACTTAAAGCACTGTACTTATCCATGCCTCAACGCACTCACTGCCATTCAGGGTAGTGGATAGTTACTTTAACAATAGAAATTCTCTTTTTGCTTAAAAGTATTCAAAAGCTGCAATGTTAGAACTATCTCTGATTTTGGTTGTTGTTTTGATATTTGTACATATATGAGGAGTGAAATGGCCGATGATATATACACGACCGTCGTGCGCATAGTAAAGAAAGTCTATTTATACGACCGTCGTGCGAATAGCTAATGCAAATTGCTGAGATATATACACGACCGTCGTGCACATTAGTAAGAAAAAAATCTATTTACACGACCGTCGTGTAAATATCAATCGCACATTGCCAGAGATATGCGCAAGACGATAATAGCTATTGTATACATGAATCCGGGATGCCTCGCGCCGATTCTGATTCGCACTGAGATGGTTCGCACCATGACGATTCGCACCATGACGATTCTCACCGATTTTAGCGTGAAACATCTCACGTTATATTTTAAATATATCACATTTTGATTTTTTCTTAATTTATTTATTAACTTTAAGATAAAATATATGCTGCATGCCTGCTCAAATTCATGACTTAATAATATGCACTTCCAAAATTAATGGATCGTAAGGTGTTCATTTGCTCAACGTGTGTGTTCAACATTTCAATGAGGCCCCACAGTCATTTCTTTTCACACCCCTTTCTTTTTACGGTACAGCTTCTTTCATGGATATGTTATAATTGATTATTTTACATACTGTAAAACAACTTTTATTCGCGTGCGAGAAATTTTCGCGAGGTTCGCAAGAGCCTATTCATTGCCAATATTTCTCGCCATGAATGGGTCCTTACCGTCTCTTTTTTTCTACAAAAACAGTTCCAAAAAGGCTTGGTCGTATAAAATATATGGACGCACAAGCACAAGGATGGAATAATGTAAGCTATTCACTTTTCAAGTGTGCCAAAGAATGCAACCGAATCGTAATATAATTTTTATCAGTTTCATAAATATGTAAATAAAGCAGTTTATTTTAGCCATAAAAGAAGCAACAAATCTTTTTTTAAAAAACAATTATGATTAATAGAAACCAAAAAGGAAAGGGGGTGATCATTCAGCATCCATTGTAAAAGAGGCGTGCGGATCACCAACAAGAACAAGGGTAGACACTAACTTACACACTTGGCTAGCGATGATAGGAGGGAGGATGGGGAGGTGGGGTTAACAGTTACGTACTACCAGGGTTATATCCTCCAATATACCCTTTCGGTCCTCGACCCACACAGTGCACTCGCACATATGCTGTATTCTGGATCTGCAGCGATGTTCAAATTGATGAAAGAAAAATTGAATGTGAACAGTGAATCAAAGAGCCATAGCTACAGACGACTCAAGAATTTAAAGGGAAATGACGTAACGTGTATATGTTATAACGTTCTGAAATAATTGTGTATTAAATAATATCAGGCGCGGATCCAGAAATTTTTCAAGGGGGGGGGGGGTTTGAAGTATTTTTCAAAAGGGGGGTTGAAGTCGAAAACAGTTAAAACGTACGTTATACACATACATTTGTTAAATAACTCAACAGAATATTGATACAGGGTGGAGTATGGTTTTTGAAAGTGGGACATTGATCAATCTGGGAAAAAGTACTTGTATACATTACCAGAAATGTTTTGAAAAAGAAAGGAAAATAAATCTCCGAACCTGAAAATCCTATTTTGTAAAGGGATGGGGTTTTATTTTGTTTTTACAACTACATTTCTTTATATATTACAAAATTAGCCTTTCACCTTACATTTTCTATAGTAGAAACACAACAAAAAAATTGGAACTTTCTTATTTCTCTTTCTCTTTTGCAAATCCAAAAGGGGGGGGGGGGTGAAACCCCCGTAACCCCCCCCCCCTCTGGATCCGCCACTGAATATTTACATTTGCAATGTCTTAAATCTCCTTATATGACAATACGGTTTAAGAGAGCAGAATAAAAACAAGAGGCCCAGGGGCCACAGCGCTCACCTGAGCACATCAGCTAGGAAAAAGCACATATCTGATCAGAACTGAAAGTTTAATGAGGGGAGGGGGGCTTGAATTTTAACCCCCCAGGGGGTCATGATTTAAACAAACTAGAATCTACACTATCTGAGGATGATTTCATATATAAATATCACTAATCATGGCTTTGAAGTACTTGAAAAGAAGATTTTAAAAGTTTTCCCTATATATATTCCTACGTAAAACTTTGGTTGGCCATTTTTGCCCCACCCTAACCCCCGGGGGTAATAATTTGAACAAATCTGAATTTAAACTACCTGAAGATTATTTCACATGAGTTTCATCTTTCCTGTCTCAATGGTTCTTGAGAAGAAGATTTTTAAAGATTTTTCCTATATACTCCTATGTAAAACTTGGGTCAGCCATTGTGGCCCCACCCTACCCCCGGGGGTCATGATTTGAACAAACTTGAATCTACACTACCTGAGGATGATTCCACATAAGTTTCATCTTTCCTGGCCCAGTGGTTCTTGAGAAGAAGATTTTTTAAAAATGCCATTAATTTTTCTCCAATTCATAATTATCTCCCCTTGGAAAAGGGCATGGCCCTTCATTTGAACAAACTTGACTCCCCTTTACCCAAGGATACTTTGTAGCAAGTTTGGTTGAAATTGGCCCAGTGGTTCTTGAGAAGAAGATGAAAATGTGAAAAGTTTACGACGACAACGACAACGACGACAACGACGACGACAGACAACAGACAAATTTTGATCAGAAAAGCTCACTTGAGTCTTCGGCTCAGGTGAGCTAATAATATTTAAGAAATAAGGTATCATTAAGGGCTATAAATACGGGTTGGTCAAGAGATTAAATTAAATATGATGAATTTAATCTCGTACCAACCCGTATTTATAGCCCGATAGATGTTTAAAAATGATACCTTATTACTTATATTTATATTTGTGACTTATTCACACTTTATATTTGCCTGATTGTGATTTTTAACATGTGGAATGCATTATTTTTCAAACCCAACGGCATGTATGTAATCCACTGAACGCGCGTCAACCTTTATGACGTCACAAAGAAATTACGTCGAACGTTTATCTATATGCACATCTATGACCTCTTGACCCCGTACCTGTATTTATACAGTTATAGATACGCATATTGCTTTCAGTAGTGTTATATAAAGGAAAACATTTGCAATTGTAAATATATGAATATAATAGTATATCAAGGGAGCTATTAACATTTAAACATCATTATTGTTTAATTTGAGATTTCACGTGTATAACAGTATAAAACGAAGGTTTTATGACAATTTTTTGGTTAAAAAGTCATATAGTGCATATTGTACCAAAATACTTTTTAGGCTTTAATTACTGCGTGCCGAACTTAACTGGGGACGACCGAATGCCATAATAAGTGATGGTATGAATAAATATAATGGTCGTGCGAACAGCTGATAAATATTATAAATAAAAAACACGACGGTCGTGCAAATAGTCACTGAAAAATTATATACACAAAGTCACTGAAAAATTTAAGTACACGACGGTCGTGCGAATAGCCGTTGAAAAAGTAAGTGCACGACGGTCGTGCGAATAGCCGTTGAAAAAGTAAGTGCACGACCGTCGTGCGAATAGCCGTTGAAAAAGTAAGTGCACGACGGTCGTGCATATAGACACTGCCGAGTGAAATACGTGCGACTTTTTGTTTATTTCACGCAAAAAACATTTTTGTGAAAAACTGTATATAAATAGCTAAATAAAGCTATTTTGAATAGCTTAATAAAGCTATATAGCTATTTAAAGCTATATAGCTAAATCAAGAGATTGTATCGATACTGGACCTGATCATGGGACGTCTTCTCACTATTAAGAAAATATTTGACCATTATCTCTTTTCAGTTGTGTTGAATTTTTTATTTTCTTTCAGAATAAAACAATTATCTTTTTACCTGAAGAGGGGCGTTGCGAATAAAAGCCCCAGAATCGGCAACAACGTGCTTTATTTTGCTGTCAGACATATTGATATCCAAATCAATATCGTGTTCGGATATAATTGGAATTGGTTTATTTAAATGTTTTACTTTAGAAATAAATAAATATATATTTGTCATCCTTTTATATAAAAACAAACAATACAATGAATATACTTATTTTCTGATGTTTTAGTACATTATTGATTGAAGTCATTCCCTTCTAAGGTAAATCCAATTTATACCATTTATCTAATTTAATTGTGTTTGCATTGACTTTAAAATCACTTTAAAGATGTAGATTTTTTTCTTGGATTTTTTTTAAAATAAGCTTTTGTATATCAAAATGATAAAGCAATTATTATTTCAATAAGAATGCATTACACAAAAAACATTGACACTTACCTGAAAAAAACCTACGATGTTACGTCAGAGGTCACATGATCCATGAAGTTATGGTGGACAAAATAGTGATTGCCAAACACCTTTCCTATGTAACTTCTCTTTGACGTTGTCAGTAATAAAAACAAGTAGGTATTTCATAGAAATGACAGAAAATAAATCAGTTAAAAGAATGATCAAGGTATTGTACGAGAAACTCTCGATCGTTTGAAACCTTTTGCGTAATTTTATCGTGTTTACCAATGGTATGTAACCATTAATTTATTGAGTGCAGACTGTCATTTTACACTAATATATTGAGTTATGTTTATTTTGAATCTGTTAGTTTGCTCTTCAAGTATGGGATTTTATCTGTTAGTTTTTTAATTTGATGATCTGTGCTTGACAGGACCTGTAACCATTGATCATTAATGTTTCAAAGTCATGACCAGGTCTTGTCTGAACTTTGACTCTTATAAATGGTCCACAAGAAAACAGCAAAGTCACATATATGTTAAAAACTCATAACTTAAAGCTGGTGCTCATCTTAATTGCCGAGACTGTGCTGTTCTATTTATGAAACAGGAAAGAAGACAATTTATGGACCGTGTCAGAATAGGACACTGCATCACAAGTCAGGTGCTCTACCGACTGAGCTACCTTGGTTGATATCCATGGCCCAAACTTTTACACTCCTTCCTCCTTAAATTGTCCTTTCCCATTAAGACAAAACCAAAGTTCAGCAGCAAGTCCAGGGGTAGCACAAAATCTCGAACTGAAAAGCATACATGTTAACCTATTGTGATGAAAAATAGGGAGATTCAGACCTCAAAAGCGGTAGCATTGCGCGTGTGTTGTTTTACACTTGGATTATCGATATCTTTCATGTAATATACATGTATATTATAAGCCTTAAATGAAATCAGGTACCTACACTAATTAACTTTAAATATCAACAGCAAAGAAGAAGACAGAAACACCTTAAGTTTGACATAAATTGTATAAATTCAAATATTTTTCATGCTCATCATTTTGCTTGGATTGGCTGCTTTACTTAGCCTTTTGAAGAGTGATCTTTGCTGAAATAGCCTAGAAGCAATAATTCTGAATGTTCATTCAGTTTTTAAACAAAACAAATGATGGCATGGTTTAATCTAGATCTAAAACAAGTTCGTATCTTTCGTTATATAAATCAGATTTCCCGCGATGATCGAAAACGAAAGTAGAGATGTGCCACATGGCTTGGTCAATCGAGTGATTTCTATTGACTTTATTGATAAAGTTGTGAGCTTCTGTGCTTTTAAAGACGATCTCAAATGTTTTCTTCTAATTCTTAAAAGCTGTATCTCCTTTTTCACGGCAGGGATGTTGATTAATTTATCGTAACCAATGTAATTTAATCACTGGTAGTCTTATGTTGTTGTCGTTGTCAAATCCGTGCTTGAAATCGATGTGCAAAAAAAGCGTTTGTATGATTCCGAGTCAAATCACGCGATATCTAGCGAGATTTTATGAGAGTGGCTTCAAAAATGGATACCCAAGCGAACCAAAAATACTTTAGACGCAGCTTTTGTAGAAAAGCGGTAGATTTCTGAATTAAATCGGTAGGCGGGAGATGGAGTGAAAAAGCGGTAGACTCCCGCCTAAATCGGGAGAGTTAACATGTATGTGAAAAGGAAAAAAATGTATGGCTTGACTGGGAATTGAATCCAGGATCCCAGGATCCCTTGATCCCTGCATCCCAGGCCGATATCCCTACCCAATCCATTACATATGTATTGTAAACTTCAAATTTTGCAAGATTATATTAACACTAAGGCTACATGTTTGATGCTGCAGCTGTTTTCAGTCATGCACTAAAATGTACTTCTAAAACCTTTATATGCATGTTTCACTGTAATTTTCAATTTTTCATTATAATGGAAGTTCATGGTCAGGCATTTAGACTAGACTAATACAGAAGTCAGCAATTTTATTATATACCTAACGTGTATCACTCAGTTTTACTGTATAATTAACGCAATCACGTGACATCGTGATCCTACTCTCCGGATCACCACACTGTGGTTTTCTGAATCCATATCACCACTCTCTGAAACTGATGACGTAGTACGCAAAAACATGACGTTATTTTTATTGTGCGATAAAAAGTCCCTTGTTATTATGCTTTGTTTTATGGATAAATGTTATACAATTGATCTCTAAAGTTTTCTTTTGCTATATTTTGCTAGTTATAAGGGGGTATATAATAAATTGATCATTATAACAGTAACTTGATCCAAAGAGCCGTATCACATCTCGTTGACAGACGCGGATCATCAGATCAAACTTGACGCTTCGCGTCTCGTTAGATCTGATGATCCGTGCCTGTCAACTCAACGTGATATGACCCTTTGGATCAAGTTACTGTTATAATAATATATATTTATCAATTACTGAATGAAGCAAAAATAAATGAGAAAAGTGCTTTAATGATTCCTACCAGTGAGCTAAGAGACCAGGCCCCAGGATCATGAAACAGACGGAAGTCAAATTTTCAATTGTCTGTAAAATTCAATATTTAATAATCTCAAAATTTGCAAATAACAAAACTTTTGTGAATCAATATTGAAACATATTTTAAGTTTGATCTGCTTGACCTCCACGACATTTAATTGTAATACAAAGATTTTGACTTAAGCTTAAGATGTTTCATGATCTCGGGACCAGATATATTGAAAGTTTTTTTTTTGATTTCCCTATTCTTCCAAGTAAGTCTAAAGAGCTTGTACTGGTTGTAAGTAATGGGTGTCTTAGGACAAATTGTTTTGCAATAGGTTCTTCTAACCAATATTGCACATAGGGATACAACATTCCAGAGTCCCATGTTCAGATACTGCATCTGCATGCATTGTGACATATATTCCTGCCAATTTCCTGGATAAATAATTAAATATACAAGTCTCATAAGTAGAATTTTAATGACAAATGAATACATACCATACTATAACAATTATTTTGAACCTTTGTGAGAATGATACACAAATTGATTTGTACGTAGAAATATCGAATTATCCCCACCCCCAACCCCCCACCCCAAATTCTGACATACGGTATTATTTGTTTACTTTTACATTTTTGGTTTAATATATAACATTTTAGATATGTCATAATAAAAACATATATATAGTATGTAATAATAAATTTTTACAACTGATACACAACTTCTATGAATAACTTAATATTCTTATTTGTTAAGAATTCAATACAAAAAGATTTTATAACCAATACAAGATATTGTGTCACATATGACATATCATTTAGTGGTTCGTATATTGTGGTATGTATTGATATAGAAAAAGTTGTATCATTCTAGCCCTAGACCTTACCTGAGCCAAATTTATATTTTCATGTACCCCTTCGAAGAAGGGAGGGCATATTGCTCTGCTGCTGTCTGTAGAGGTCTTTCTATCTGTTGGTCCACCAGCAGTTTCCATTCATTTTCTTTGCAGAGGTTGCACGTATTGAAATGAAATTTGGTATTCAGCTTTATATTAAGAATATCTAGGTCAAGTACTGGGTACGATCAAGCCATTTTGGATAGAGTTATGCCCCTTTGACTTAGAAAAATTCCAATTATATGTGGGAGGTGGGCATAAGTGTTTTCAACCATCTCTTGTTCATATTCAATGATTGCATCTATATTTTCTTGATCTTTGAATGACTCTGATAATGAAGTAGCTTATTGGATATTTATTTGGTCATAGACTTTATTTTTATACTTTTCCTTTCAGATTTGCATGATATCTATATAATGGGAGAAGCTGCATCAGCCTCATCCAACAGTGCACAGTACTCACAGCTTCAATTGTCAGGTAAGGGTTAGAATGGGCCAGATAGAAACTGTATTGTCCCATGTCCTTTACAAAGTCAGATTTTTATGAAGCAATTTATTGGACAAGTGCATTTGAGGGGATGGAAATATAAGTTGTATACTTTTAAACTTTTTACAAAAAAAATGATATATATCCATCCGAATAGAAGTCTTAGGAGTGTATTTCTTTTCACAAAAATTTTTAAGAGACTTTTAAGTGTCAAGTTGTAATAACTTTACAAGGCCCAATCCTCTTGTAAGTATTTTAAACCTGATTTCATATAAAGTTTCGTTGATAAAATCAAAATACAGGTAAACTTCGGTATCTCGACATCGGATATGTCGACAACCTGGGATATGTCGACGTCCGTCCATGGTGCCGGCATTATTTACTATATAAATGATTTGCAAAAACTCTGATATGTCGACCTCGGTAATGTTGACTACCCTGCTTATCTCGACGTATTTCAAAGTCCCAAGAGCAAAATTTACCTGGTATATGTCGACATCGGTGCAATTTTCTGCTCTACTTAACCTAATTGTTTGTCAGCTAGTTGCTCATCACGCACGGACGACTCCGTGTATCTCGACGTCTTCAAAAATTCACACCTTTTACACCCAGGCATGTTTTGACTGCATACTGCTCTGTAAAAGTGTGTTTGTAGAGGAATCTCAAGCCCCCTCGGCGTCTCTAATACGCTAATTGTTCAATGTTCAGCTTGGGTAATTATCATTGATAAATCTTCTCAATTCTGCATAAATGTACAACCGTTTATTTGTGTCGAAATCTAACAAAACTTAAGCATTTTATAAGAAAAAAAGTAACTGAATAACAATGAACAATATACACATTGAATTCAATTTAACTTAAAAATTGTGGTAAAAATGCATTCAACATGAATCAATTAAACTTACGATATGCACGACTATTGCATCAGCCGTAATATGGATCATTAAGTTTGTTAAATGTGCAATTCCAATTAAGTTTTGGTTTGAAAATGAAATGAAAATTAATGATGAATGATTATGAATTAAAAAAAAAAAGTGAAATGAAATAATTTTTAAAAATTAATGTACGCATTAATTTTTTTCCGTATCTCGGAAGTCGATTTTGTACCGTTCCGGTTTGGAATTTATAAAGCGCATTTCATATCCTGTTCTGACATAGCTATTGGCACGCGGATCGAATGCTGGATGGAAAACGGTTTTCAGTGAAATAAGAAGATTTCGATAAAAAAAGAAAGCATTTCATGAATAACATTTGTGAATAACTTCTTAGATTTTCTAATAAATATAGAGGAAAGCTGAAACAAACGAGCTACAGTCTAATTGAATCATATAGGTACCTGTAGTGAAACGTCTGTTCAGTTTAGGTATATGGGTTTACTATGCAGTAAAATTAAGGACGTCGAGTCTCAACTCTGATATCTCGACACTTCGGATATCTCGACATTTTCCGACTGTCCCATCGATGTCGAGATAACGAAGTTTACCTGTACATGTTTACTTGAGAATTTTAATGCAATCTACGAGTATAATACTAAGTAGTATATATTTTTTTCCACAAGTTAATATGGTTGGAAACTTGAAGGAAATATACTTCTAAATATTTATGATAGCAGTTTCACTTAAGATTTTCTTACTATACACTTTTACACCAGACTTGTGATTATGACGTCAAATTTCAGACTTTGTTTTTTGAGGCTGTTTAAAGATCCCTTTCCCAATTCAGAAGTAATACCTATTTTTCCTTGAATGTGTTTTTTTTTTTTTCATTTCCTCAAAAAATTAAAGGCACATATAGTTAGATATATAATCATGATAATAGCTAAACTTGTTTTTCAATATACCTCTAAATAGAAAAAGAGATTTAATTGTTCGCAAACACCAGAAACCCACTGTATACTGATTTTCATAAATTCTCTAAATATTATGAATTTTCACAATATTTTTGGCATTGGTTTTATTCCCTAAAAATGGTTTGAGAACTTTGCAATGGGAGTGAGAATGAGAATGACAGTGAAAGAGAGTGTGTTCCTGTTTTCTTGATCTCTAGTGGTAATATAAAAGAGAGGGAGGGTGATATAATTTGGACAATATTGTACTATGGCAGTAATATTGAGTCAATTCTCTCTGAGATCAACAGCAAGGGAGAAAAAATTCTGTACTCATGTCATTTTCTCTTCATGAGAGTAAATCTGATTTCCAAACAAAAATAATAATACAATGGACACTTGTTATTTTTATCAATCTAATTTTTTATTGAGGATTATTTCAATCATTCAGTGAGGCAGGCATCAATTCCAATTAAAACATTGACAAACAGATGTGACAAATGTTCCTGATTGGTCCAGTCAAATATGAAAATTCAAATTAGCTTATAAGCTTATGAATGTATATTGTAGTTTATTAGAAGCTGACTATGGTTATATATTGTCCAATCTTATTATTTGGATCTAGAGGGGGAGGAGAACACATTAAATTAAGTACCAATAGTTGTTACTTGTATGGGTAAGAGAACTATAGACTAATACATGTAGTATTGATAGATACACGTGTACAGAAATAACAACATAGTAAACAGTACCTCCCCAGTCTTGTCATTGACACCAGGAAGATAAGGGAGTCAGTCTGCCTCCAAGGTTAACAGCATTGTTATAACACCCAGGTAACCAGGAAGTACAGGACTCCAGAATGTTTTACTCAGAACTAAACAGGATGTTACAGGTGTAAAAGGAATCGGACATTCATATAATAATGACCAACACTAGACTTTTGTCAAGTGCTTTGTGTGTGTATTATGTACTGCCTTATGAAAAAGATAGAAGAAGATTGTTAATTTATTCATTCCTATCCATATAAATTTTTCATTGACAAGAATTTTTCCCTTCATGTAACCCAATTAAGTGTGTGTGGGGGTGAGCGGGGGTGGGTTTTTTTTTTTGTATGGATGAATTTCCTCTTTGAATTTTCAACCAGATGTCACTATTTTCCCAACTTGAACATGTTGAAATGTCCAAGCCCTAAACATCAGGATCTTAAGAAAAATTTAATCAATGTATTCTCACAATTCTGGTTCAAGAAAATTTTGATTACTTTTTTGTACTACCTATTATTAAAAGATATAAGGCAAAATCCAAAGTTCAAGCACCTTTATTAATGTACTTGTAACTGCAATTCTTATGTATGTCTCTGGAAATGCTAAGGTGATATTAAGGACATGTTGAAATGTCCAAGCCTTTTTACTAAACATCAATGTTTTTACAATTTTCAATGCATTTCCTATGTAAAATGTTGAAAAATTTAATTTTCAATGTATTGTATTTTATAAGGTTTATACATTAAATACATTGTTGAAACCTTAATGACATGCTGGTTCAAGAAAATAGCACTGTTTTTAATTTTGATTACTTTTTTCTAATCAATATTCATTATGATCAAGAGACTGGTTGTTTGTTTCTACTATAATTTACTTCATTGGATGTCATAAAACATTTTAAAAAGATTTAAGGCAACTCCAATGTTCATTCACACCTTTATTAATGTACATCTTAACTGCAATTCAAGTTAAATGTATGTCTCTGGTAAACAAACCCACCGCTGCTTTTCTTTTAAGGTGATATATCCTCCTATGTTTTGTTTATTCTCAATATGCTTTATTGGTTTTCACACAAGAGAATTCCAATACTTCAATGACTTTTTTCTAGTGAGAAAACCAATATAAACCTTTTTTCTTTCGATGGTTGCCAATGTTAACCATTATAAGAACTTCATTAAAGTCTTCCTTTTGATGGTTTTGTAACCATTATTTCATAAAGTTTCCTGGTACTTGTAATTATTTAACAGAATGAAGTGCACTGAAATTTGTTTATTTTAATCAATGGGGAATTTTTGTTTTCATTAATTCAGGTAACCTTTAGATGACTGCTGTGATGCATATACTTATAGTGTTTATATGAACTTTAAAGATTTTTTATGAAATTATGAAAGAAATGAATCCTAAATCTTCACCCCTGCAGGGCTCTACATTAACTTTTTTTCCTGTCATTTCGGAAATGACAAAGAAATTACTTGGCAAACTTAATTTCACTTGTCAAAAATCTGAAGATTTATCAATTACTTTATTTTTATATACTATATGTTCTGGTCTAATTGAATAATACAACAAAGACATAAAACAAAATTTTATTAAGACTTCCTGTCCTGAAAACAACATGCGAATCTGTCAACATTGCATTAATGCATAAACATTTATTCGGCACTGTCTAAAGTCAAAAGGATTAAATCTGTCGTATTAGCTCTCCCTGCATTCCACCACTTGTGTGCTGTTGAACTCTTCCAATGGACACCCTTCTATAGAGATAAACATGAGCATTCTCAGCATTGATTCAAAATGCTACTCCTCCTACAGTTTTGGAATCCTCTTTCAATATAACTTGGCACACAAGTAGAATACACTAAGATACATAATTCTGTGTGACAAATCTGCTGCTTGGAAGTTTTTCAATTGGTGTTGTGTTGTGACCATAAACATGGGCTTTGAAGGCCTTAAATTCAAACAGCAACATCACACTCTGCATTTTGTAGAATACCACCAAAATGCTGCATCAATAGATTAAGTTCTTCTATACAAAGAGAGCTACCCTAAGTTTTTGGAACTCATATCTAACAGAGCTGCTTTCAAGATTTTTTCCATTGGTGCAAACCTTTTATCAATTGCATCAATGAGAACATTGATTACTTCTTCTCTTTTTGCTCTGTAACTTTCTTGGGGGTTGACATTTTGCAAAGTAATGTTGTGATACACATCTCCATTAACCTCTCCAAGTAAATTTGCTTAACTCTTCACCATTTGGTTTTAATTCACAGAGAGAAATGTAACACAGTGATTGCTTCTAAGATACAAAGAGTTGCTGTCCCTCTGTACTTTGGTTAGCACACTCAAGGTTGATACATCTAGCAAGAAGAAAGACATGTACAAGAATGGTGTTGCAACTTTTTGCTAATATTGGTTGCTCCCTTGGACCTCAGCAAAACCTCTAATGTGATCAAAATGAGTAATAATAACTGTAAAATTCTTCATGCAAGTGCTTTCTGCAATGATAGCCACTTGTTCCATGTAAATTTGTTGGCTTTAAAACCTTTTCTTCTAAGGCATCTATAATATCAATTCTCTTAGAGCCTTTGGTGAATAATGGTACTGTTTGTAGGTATTTGTCAAAATATCTTGAATATCCTTCATAATTTTTTGACTTTTAATTGCATTATTGGCAGCAAGCTCCAACCTGTGGCAATACAGTGAACAATGACTAGTTGGGGGACATTTTTTCAGTAATGCAGCGACTCCACCCTTTGAAAATTTAAAGAATCCAAACCCAACAAGATGTTTTCCAGTTTTCTAATTCTGCCCTCTCAAATGATATCAATACAATTTTCCCTTAGCATCAGATTTTGGATGTCTTCAATGCTTAGGTAGTGGTTTTCAGGAACCCCATTTTTACAAACCTTACATATACAAGTTCGTTTTCTGTTACTGATGAATTCTAGCACCATCAATCAGAATAGAAAAAAATTTCTTCCCTGCCATCTTCTACACCGTCTTTCATACATTTCTTCATAGATTTTTACAAACATTTAGATAACTATTGTGTTACAAAGCACTGAAATTTGCAATATTCAATAATCATGATAATAATTTATTTAAAAAAAAAAAACAAGCAAAGCCACACATAGGACTAGGCAATGTAATATTACTAGTCTAATACTAGATAGACTACCAATTATTTATAGTGAAGTATTATATTTAGATGAAATTATTAATCTGAGTGAACATGCATATGGATATGATAATATATTAAAGAATAGATGAATGATATATAATTAATTTTATTTTCAAAAAGTTAGTAGGTCTACCTTCTGCAAGCATTGTCTGATCTATAAAATCCCCCAATATCAAGGCCATTTTTTTCTTGCAGTTTAATGAGGGTTGGGTACCTGTAAAGGGCATTTCATACATACAAAGTAAGCAGTATTGAATAGCTTTCTAATTTGCTCTTCAATAACTGTCCATTTTTCTAACACATTCAACAATTGGGCCTACAAGATTGCTGCCTTGGGATTCTTCACATCAATTTTACTGTGCCTTTCAGACATTTTATATGTGCTTGATTTTCCAGTGGGAAGTTAACGTGTGTTTCTGAATGCATTTGTTCCAAGAAACATGGAACATGATTTATCAGCCGTAACTTCGTTGTCTCGGCAAGTTTCACAAAACATTTTAGCCTCAGGTTCGCCACCCTCTGCATCCTCACCTTCATAGACTAAACCTGGAAAGTCGTCTATCCATGATACAAATTTTGTTTACTTTTTTTTCATAATCTTTTTTCTTTTCTTTACTTTCTTTTGTTTTTACACTTGCCATGTGTAAATCCGAATTTCGTGAGATCCATGTTGCCTTGAAATAAAGTATTTGGCAATTAGTGAACTTCGATTCAAGTATAACTCAATCATTAAATCGCGGTTGATATCGGGATATTCGTTTTTCGTGATTTGCTTCCGTCTAAACCATCGATAAACTGTTTGCCTTTTTTTCGTTTTAATTATTATTTTGAGACTTTTTAAAAATTGATTTTATTGTTATACATAAAAAGCACTTGTCCAATTGCAAGTGACCAGCAATATTCACTTGTCCGAATTTTTTTTTCACTGGTACCGGAAAGCGGACAAGCGTTAATGTCGAGCCCTGCCCTGTTGACTGTCATAAAATCTTAGGGCAATCTTTTATCATTATATTTTTATAATACACTGAAAAAAAAATCATTTTGCCTCAGTTGTATTTATGAGTTAATTGTACCTCTGATAGCAGTGTACTGGGAAGGCTCAGATTGAGAAGAATTTTGTTCTCTTTACATCATAAAACTTAATATAAGTGTCCTGTTTAAAATTGCTTTAAACATAAAGATGTCGTCTTCTCTCATGTATAAACTATAATTAATATGAATTTTACTTTAATTATATATGAATTTATGAAAAGTATATTCAACAGTGGCCTTTTGATTTGCAAAAAATGACAGAAATTTGGGAGATATAATAATAAGTTGATCATATTGGAGTTGGGGGGGATTTTGCGTGATGAACCTATAAAAATTAAAGAACAAACAGAAATTTATTTTGAGTGCTCATAGATATACATGTATAGATAAAGATAGACTATGATTTTAGGTGTTATTTAGGGGGGGAGGGGGCAGATTTTACTAAGGTAGTATGCAGATATAGATTGACTGGTGACTGTATTTCAAGACCAGCAGAGAGTTACGTACAATAACAAGGTCCTGTATATTTCTACATTTTCATTGGTTTTCTGATGTACAGTAATTTTGTCAACATTATAGAGAATAATATTGCTGGACCAAATTAAAGATTGTAGAAGAATACAAGATGAAAAATCTTCTATGGCCTCTAAAATTTATGCATTATAAAATTCCTTGCATATGAATTTGAATATGAAGGGCAGATTTTATACTGTCACATATCTGTATAATATTGAATAAGATCCAGAATTCTTACTTCGTCTAAACTACCTGTGATTGTCAGGAGAAAATTCTAAGCTGTAAATGTATACATGTACCTTAGAAATCAATATGATCATACCTTCTCAGGGAGAGGTGTTCTCGTAAAAAGTTAATTTAAAAGAATTGATTTTTCTAAATCACGATAAATATGGCACGGCTCTTTTGCATGGCATATTGAAACATGGAATATTATGTAACAATAATGATTTTTAAATAATCAATTAAAATGATTATCAACCAGCATGAAGTTGCATAATTTGATAAGAAGACGATTAAGAACACTTTTTGTTAAGTACAGTTGAACATCAAAACATGCCTGAAAAAAAAAAGATGAACTCTTAAACATGCTGTTCTTATTTCTGCTGGTAGATTTTAACTCAGTTTTACGTTCTACCTATACATGTACCTGTAGGTTCTTATGTGGTTAGTAAAAGGTTATGCAAGCGATACTACTTCAGTATGCTAGAGGTTCATGGTTAGATACTTCCTGATGCAGAATTGCTTAACCTCTAGCTTCCTTTGTTAAAATTTCTTGCAACTCAAACTGCCAAAATTAGAATGGATTATTTTAATGAAAAAATCTACAAGTGACATGCAACAATTGAGCACTTTGTATTTATACAATTAAATCTACAATTAAAACAATGTTTTCTCAAACTAAGGATCAATTCATTATTTTAAAGTCCAAGCAGAATTCATATTGTTATCTCAGAGGTTGATTATACAAGGTATAAAATAAATAAAGGAAATTTAACCAAAGTTTTTATGAGTAGAGCAAAAAATGATTCCTACATGAGGCATTGATAACTTTAAAATATATCTATAGTTTGATTCCCTGAGAAGTAATACTCATTAATACCAATGAAAACGTCTTTATAAATACATGTAAAGAAACCTTTTTTTGAGGGATGTTTCCAAAGTTCTATGCATCTAGCTTAAAATAAACATTGTTTTTTATTTTAGTAAACTCGGCTAAGATCACAGGCAGCGGTGGCGTCTTTTCCTCCAAACCCGATCCATTTGTAGAAGTTTCTGTTGACGGCCAGCCTCCACGCAAAACTGATGTCCAGAAAAAGACGACAAACCCAAAGTGGGATGATGACTTTACTCTGTAAGTACAGAATTAAATCAGCTTCAGTCAGCACGTCATCCTATCACAGCCGAAGACTAGGATCAATCCCTAAGGAAAACTTGTGCAAGGCCATTAGAAATGTTTTGGTATAGACCTCTTGTTTTACTGGTCCTAGAGAATTGTTTGCACTTAAGTATTTTTGTCGATTTCAAAGAACATAGCAAATGAGATACAGAAAAAAATTATTACATTATGTCCAATTGCCTTTGACTAACAAACTATGAGAGAAAAAGCATTATACCATCATCAAAAAGCATTATTATACCTCTATTGATAATACTCGAATATGATTGGCTGGTAAGAAAACTTTAAAACACAACAATGACTCAAAATGGTACTGTTTACAGCAATAAGGACCTAGGAATCATTGCACGTGGGATATAATGACCCGGTCATTATAATTAATGACCGCTTAATAATGACCTCTTAATCAAAAATTCCTTTTTGAGTGAATTAAATGCATAAAATAATAATTATTCGAGAAAACAACATGTTTTTAAAATTGTGCATGGTCTGTTTTGCATTACCATACAGAATACGGCAAAATTTTATCGTTAACTTAAACGGTTTACTCATTTCAAAATATCGTTTCAATTCAGCTCTGGAATGTAGAAGCGGCTCTGTAAAGAGTTGAATTCTGTGTTAGATTTTGATTGAAATTTTTATTCGGAAATAATGATTGGGTAGAGAAAAAGTAATCGTTAGTTATAACAATGTATGTCGTTATCAACCAAATATAATTTTAATCAGTAAACTTACACGACTTGCAGACGTCAATGTAAACAACTTCACTATCTGAGTGTAGCGAATCCTGATCCCGATCAATGAAAGAATTGATAACGGTTAGAGATTCATACTTTTCAATATATATCGGTATAATAAAACAATAATAAAACAATTGATTACCTCTTTTGAGTTCAACATGGTGAAATAAGGACCCTCGACCTGGCCCACGAGGTGACCTGACCTGACCGAGGCCGCTATGCGGCCTCGGTCAGGTCAGGTCACCTCATGGGCCAGGTCTCGGATCCTTATTTCACCATGTTGACCTCAAAAGGGGTAATTAATTGTATAATGTTGCCCTGTTAATGTTATTGATATACACCTGTGTAATATCAATTATGATGTACTTATAGGAAAGTGATTTTATTTTCTTTATTGCATTTATTCCTGAAATCAATTATTGAGTGGATTTTAATGAGGAATGCTTGGATAGAAATACTGAAGTAATGAGTAAAATCTATTTTTGACAGTATCAGATCTAGTTTTGAATGAGTTTTGTATAGTTTCCTTTTAGAAGTCAATATTGGAGAAAAACAATCTTTTAATTATAGGGTTTGTATGAATCAATTATGTAATATTTTTGTGACAGTTATATGAAAGTTTACAGAACAATTTTTTGTAGAACTAAAAAATTTTTAGCATCTGATTAGCTCACCTCAACGAAGTTGGGGGGAGCTTATGTGATACCCTCGGCGTCGGCGTCGGTGTCGGCGTCCCATGGTTAAGGTTAAGTTTTTTGGAGCAGTTTTCCTTTTAATTACTTCTGTGTCCTATACTGATTAGACATGCATGGAAGATGGTTTTAGTGTGTTTTATTGTACCAGACAAAGTTTCAGATGCTGCAATTTCAGCAAAGAAATGACCAGGTTAATGTTTTTGGAGCAGGTTAACATTTTTGGTGCAGTTTTTGGTGTGGGTTTCATTTCCAAGTAACTATAAGCCCTATGTTGACCAAACTTGCATGGATGATACATCTAAGGATGCATACTACCGGGCTTGCTTCGGATGCTGAATCTGACCTACATTTTCCGGTTGAGTGAACAGGTTAAAGTTTTTGGTGTAGGTTTCATTTCCAAGTAACTGTAAGCCCTATGTTGACCAAACTTGCATGGATGATACATCTAAGGATGCATACTACCGGGCTTGCTTCGGATGCTGAATCTGACCTACATTTTCCGGTTGAGTGAACAGGTTAAAGTTTTTGGTGCAGGTTTCATTTCCAAAAAACTGTAAGCCCTATGTTGACCAAACTTGTATGGATGATACATCTAAGGATGCATACTACCGGGCTTGCTTCGGATGCTGAATCTGACGTACATTTTCCGGTTGAGTGAACAGGTTAAAGTTTTTGGTGCAGGTTTCATTTCCAAGTAACTATAAGCCCTATGTTGACCAAACTTGCATGGATGATACATCTAAGGATGCATACTACCGGGCTTGCTTCGGATGCTGAATCTGACGTACATTTCCTGGTTGAGCGAACAGGTTAAAGTTTTTGGTGCAGGTTTCATTTGCAAGTAACTTTAAGCCCTATGTTGACCAAGCTTGCATGGATGATACATCTAAGGATGCACACTACCAGGCTTGCTTCGGATGCTGAATCTGATCTACATTTTCCGGTTGAGTGAATAGTTAAAAGTTTTTGGTGCAGGTTTCATTTCCAAGGAACTTTGAGTTCTTTAATGACCAATCTTGCATAGATGATACATCTAAGGAAGCATACTTCCAGGCTTGCTTCGGATGCTGAATCTGACCTACTTTTTGTGGATGAGTGAAAATGTTAGTTTTGATGCATGTTTCATTTCCAATAAACTATGAGCCCTATAATGAGCAAACTTGCATGGATGATACATCTAAGGATGCACACTAATGGACTTGCTTCGGATGCTGAATTGGAATACATTTTTCAGATAATAGACAAGGTAAAAGTTATGGTTGCAGGTCTATTACCAAAAACTATAAGGCTTATATAACATTGTATAAACCAAACTTGCACAAATGCTGCATCAAGAGATGAAAACTCTCAAATTTGCTTCAGATGCTGGATTTTCATTACATTTTCATGAAGAAGAAGTAGTTTAAATTTTTTATGTAGGTCTATTTCAAAGTATCAGATAAAAATTGCTTTTAAAAATATTTTCATTTTTGGAATGTATACTTTTTGTTGGTTAATTGTGTGACTTTGCCTTACTTAAAGACAACATTTGTTGAGGTGAGCTCTGTAATCTCTGATTACCTATGTTTTTTTTCTTCCTTTTGATGTATAGAGATACTTGGCTATATTTCATTGTGCATTAAAAATCTTGTGAGCAGTTAATGTTATAATATTTGGTAGTGGAGTAATGAAGAATTCAAAGCAAATATTGACACCATTTTCCTTGATTCCTAGTTTTTTGATGAAGATAAAATCTGCATGTACATCACATTTATATGATAAACATATAACTCATTCTTCAGTACTGAGTTCAGATGTGTGACCAAAGGGTTATTTTTTAAAAATAATCAATTTCATAATTTATGTATATTAATTAAGTTAGTACCCTTCCTGCTTCTGAAAAAAATTGAAGGGAAGATAATCTGAAGTCTTAGAAAGGAGATAGGTGTCTAAATGTACAAGTATGTCTGAAATTTTATGTACGTAACTTGGTGTCCACAGTGACTGTTTTATAGGACAATAAGCTATTCTTTTCTAGTGAATCCTTTTTGAAGTAAATAAACACTAGTTTGCATGTTTTATTGTATGACTTATTTCTGCCTTATTCCATTACAATTAGAAAATATATCCAAGACTACCAATGGACACCGTTACTTACATAAGCACTAAACAAGTAACATGTTACTAGAATTTAACAAGTTGTTAAAATATGAAAATAATGTAATCAATAAGGTATGATGAAATCATGTTTAATGTTATATTAAATGGAATTTATTTAAAAAGTCACAATTTTTATTTCTAGTTTCAAAAAAGGAGAAATTATGTAAGTAACATGGACACCTAACTCCGAATCAGGCTTTAAAAAGGAACAAAAAAAATAACAAGACAATCGAACACTTGTCTTTAATACTTTTAATATTTCATTTCAAGGCTTAATAATAGACAAGATTTAAAAGAGAAATAATGCAGACAAGTAAATTGTCAGATGAATAACTTAATATCCTAGGTCTTCTATTTTGAGTCTTGGATCTTTGTGTCATTGTTACGAACATAATTCAGTCATTTTTTGTAAATCTGAAAGAAAAAAAAATATAAAACAAAATACAACATGATGTAATCAACACATATGCTGTTTAATTATATTTATTATATATCCTTGATAAAATCAGAAAGAAGGCAATTAAAGTACAAATTATGTCGCTACTTCAAGTTTTCGTGTCTCTGTTACGAACATAATTGCGTAAATGATATGGCAATATTAAAACAAATATTCCATAAGTATTTATCCTTTGATAAGAGCAGAACAAAACTAACAAATATAGAATAAAATATAGTACAATATAACTTTATCATTAATAGATTATACAAATAATGCAAAAACACTTACGTTCGTAACAAAAGACGCAAATCAAAAGTCAAATGTTAAACCGAAAGTACTCGACTCGGACAGATTTATGCATTTTGTATGGTCGTAAGAGACATATTTCAGTTTCTGATTAATAGCTACATGGTATAAAGATACAATGACTGTATTTATTTGTTAAACATTCACTAAAATTGATAGAATATGAAAATACTTACCCAGTCTATTATGTTCGTAACTTCTTTTTTTCCACATGGACACAATGAGCATCGCCATGTTTTTTAGCAGACAGCTGCGCAACCTTTCTACTTTCGTTTTTAATTTATAATTACACTACTGCTACGGACTTTCTGAGCCAAACTTATGATTCATTGGCTGTTATTTTAGCAATCATACTGAAAGCTATTATGTTCGTAACGGTCAAGACACCAAACATTGTACAATCAGAGATCATTTTAAAATTACAAAAAGAACTGAGTTATGTTCATGAAGCATATTGTTAAAAATAATTTATCACACATACTCATTAATTAAGCACAGAAACTGAACTTGACAAATTATTTAATGTTTGTAGAGAGATGTTAAAAAGTTCAATGCATATGGACACCATGCGTTACGAACATAAACCATACATTTTTAAGTTCAGAAAAAAATAATTAAGATAATTTTATCATGTTTGACAATATAAATATATTATTTCATTTATATGCTAAGATAATGTACACAAATATCATGCCAAATGATTTTATTTTTAAGTAAAACAACATCTTTATGCCTATTCGAAAATTATGTCACATTTTCTGCATCTGAAATACCCTAAATGCAATACAACAATTATCAATATTTTTTTTATTCCTCAACTCATATCCATGAAACTATTTATACTATATCCTTGCACAAGTATCAAATCATATCAATATCAATCTATCTGCTTACATTTTATTTATTGGAAAATAAAGGAAAAAAGAAATACATTTTAAAAATTCACCAGTATTGAAGAATGAGTTATATGTAACGTGACCCGATCTTGGGTGTTACAAAAATTATGTGAGTCCTCTTATTCCTGTGATTTACCTTAATTAATCAACAAGATTTGTTTATCTATAAAAAAAAAATGAATTTATTCAAACAATAACAATAATAATTTATGATTAATTAAATACAAACAGAGTATACTTATGGATAATGGTACAGGATATATATAATCGTCAGCTGATTGGGTTCCCAATATCAACAATGGGAGAGTACGCTCAGCTGATTCAGGTTGGGTCAGGATATATAATAGTCAGCTGATTGGGTTCCTTAATATCAACAATGGGATAGTACGTTCAGCTGATTCAGGTTGGGTCAGGATATATAATAGTCAGCTGATTGGGTTCCTCAATATCAACAATGGGATAATACGTTCAGCTGATTCAGGTTGGGTCAGAATATATAATAGTCAACGGATTGGGTTACTCATAGATCTGATATTGGGTCAATTTACCCAATATTGGGGCATTGGATTTTACCCAATTATGGGGAGTTGGGATTCTCTGAGCTGGCCAGATGTTTATGAGTCTGACCAACGTCCCAGACTCAAGAAAAAGTCTAAAGTGCCTTCTTTATATACCTTTTGGTATTCCGGTGCGAATTAGTTCACGCGCGAATGACTAGCGGTACCGCCAGTATTTGCGCGACGTTTGTATGGTAACACTAACAACTTTTGCATCAAGTAAAGGCTTTAGCATTACAAATGCGGGAAAAGGGATGATTTGTTGTTTGGGAATTGTTTTGGAAACGATGCGAAGTTGGATTTGGGTACCTTGATTGAATAACAATGCCAGACGGCCATAAGTCATTACGATCTGTGGAGGAAATTTGGGTTTGTACAATACAACGAAATGATATTCATGAAATAAACATATACAATGAATTAAAAAGCATACATTAATGACATACGATGATTGGTAATATTCCCACGATATCTACAAATAAATTTACGATTCCTAGAATAAATATTTAGGACATAAATTGGGGTGATCCAATCTGTGGGTTATTTTGGGCAATGGGGAAAATTCGTAACACATACTTTAATTAACCAAGTAAGTTTTTTTTTCTTCAGATGATCCAAGTGAATAAATATGCCCTGTTCCTGGCCTGCTCAATCTTATAGATTGGTTACAATACCTTGTATTAGTACTTATACAGTGTCACATATAAAAGTTCCTGGCTAAGCTATATGATATTTAATAAATGGTCCTGTCCAATCTATACAAATTGACATGTAAAGATTACAGGTCATTGCCCCTTCTTCTGGCTGGCCTGTACAAAATCACATGTATATTGTGTTTATGGCTGGTCATCCCCTACACCTTGTTAAAAGGTATCTATTCTTTACAATTTCACATGGATATTTGTGTTTTGAAATAGTTACCACTTCTTCCAGTTAAATTGTATCTGTAGAATGTCACACGTGTATATTGTGTTTTAGGCTGGTCACACATGTATATTGTGTTATTGGCTGGTCACACATGTATATTGTGTTATAGGCTTGTCACACATGTATTTCCTGTTTTAGGCTGGTCACACATGTATATTGTGTTTTAGGCTATTCACACGTGTATATTTTGTTTTAGGCTGATCACATGTATATTGTGTTTTAGGCTGGTTACATATATATTGTGTTTTAGGCTGGTCACACATGTATATTGTGTTTAAGGCTGGTCACACCTGTATAGTGTGTTTTAGGCTGGTCACATGTATATTGTGTTATAGGCTGGTCACACATGTATATTGTGTTATAGGCTTGTCACACATGTATTTCCTGTTTTAGGCTGGTCACACATGTATATTGTGTTTTAGGCTGGTCACACATGTATATTGTGTTTTAGGCTAGTCACACATGTATATTGTGTTTTAGGCTATTCACACGTGTATATTTTGTTTTAGGCTAATCACATGTATATTGTGTTTTAGGCTGGTTACATATATATTGTGTTTTAGGCTGGTCACATGTATATTGTGTTTAAGGCTGGTCACATGTATATTGTGTTTAAGGCTGGTCACACCTGTATAGTGTGTTTTAGGCTGGTCACATGTATATTGTGTTATAGGCTGGTCACACATGTATATTGTGTTTTAGGCTGGTCACACATGTATATTGTGTTTTAGGCTGGTCACACATGTATATTGTGTTATAGGCTAGTCACACATGTATATTGTGTTTTAGGCTAGTCACACGTGTATATTTTGTTTTAGGCTGATCACACGTGTATATTGTGTTTTAGGCTGATCACACAAGTGTATTTTGTTTTAGGCTGATCACACGTGTATATTGTGTTTTAAGCTGATCACACATGTATATTGTGTTTTAGGCTTGTCACACATGTATATTGTGTTTTAGGCTGATCACACATGTATATTGTGTTTTAGGCTGATCACACATGTATATTGTGTTTTAGGCTTGTCACACATGTATATTGTGTTTTAGGCTGGTCACACATGTATATTGTGTTTTAGGCTATTCACACGTGTATATTTTGTTTTAGGCTGATCACATGTATATTGTGTTTTAGGCTGGTTACATATATATTGTGTTTTAGGCTGGTCACACATGTATATTGTGTTTAAGGCTGGTCACACCTGTATAGTGTGTTTTAGGCTGGTCACATGTATATTATGTTGTAGGCTGGTTACCCCCTACTCCCGGCTAGATGTTCGAGTCCAGAGTCAGAACACCATACGAGCCCCCTCCCTCCTGGGTCAGGCCTCTGTAGAACTGTACAATATCCTCCTGGAAAATCAAGGCAAATGTATGTATACATCATTACTATACAGGATATTATGATTAAATACAATATAATTTTTTTATGATGAAGAATAAAAGCTATCTGATTTTAAGGCCAAATATGGATATTATACAATAATGAAATGGTTTTTTTTTTCCAGTAAATAATTTAACAAAGTCATTTGAAATCAAACTTGATGGAAAAGGAAAAACTGGAGAAGTCAGTCTAAGTTTCAATGGAATGGAAGTCAACATGACCCGATTCCCTAAGAGGAACGAGAGGAGACAGACCAATGGTGAGTTGTTAGATAATCCTATAAAAACACAGGTGGTGTGCGGGCTTGTGGGGAGGAGGCAGCTGCCGGAAATGAAAGACTGAGGCATTCTCAAGGCTTGCTAGAGAGAGACAATCACAGGAAGTATTTGTGGGGGAGGGGATATTAGGTCATGAGAAAGGGGAAGCAATATTGAGGGGTGATTAAGAAAAACCCCAAGGCATTCGAAGGAGGGGGGATCTAAGGGCATAGGAGAGGGAGGTAGTATGGGTCACTGGAGGAAAAGGGGATTTCAACTTGTCAGTGTAAAATTTTGTAGAAATAGCACCAGGAAAATAACAGTTATGTAGATAAGATTAAATTTGGTAGATTATATTACCAACATGTAAGTTGTTTTATTTTTAAATCCTGGTTTGATTTCATTATAGATAGACCTTAACTTTGTATGACATCGTGTGACACTCTGACATGCTAGGTTAATTTCTAGGGTAATGTAGAAGTAATTAGGTTAAATGGTGTATTCAAACACAGAATTTTATTCATTGGATATATCAAAGTACAAGATTTAAATCCTGGTTTGCTATAATCTTTGTTAACAAGACAAAGGAATTGGAAGTATATTGTCTATAGTCATTATTTAACAAGAGACTGAGTAATTATTTTACATATTTTTAGTCAGTCGTAATGAAAGAAAAAATAAAGGTGAGATGAACCAACAGCTGATCAGTCGTTATGATGCTTAATAATTAATTAGAATGATTAAAGTGGAAAAAATCAGAATGGCTCTCCTTGTTACCTATTATTTTACTACCCAGCGTAAATCATAACCCAAGATATTATAGCATCTGTTCACAGTTGCATCTTGTAAATAATCAAGATTTTTAGTCATTTTCCATGGGCCAGATCTGTATTCTATGATGTATTTGAGAACTAACAGATGTTTTACACATATATATTTGAACTTTTTAAGCCTAACATTATGCTGCCCATAGGAAATTAGAACATCTGTAAAAATTAAGAGAATGACAATCATTTTTCTTTCTACTAGAGGCTATAAATAATTGTAATATTCTGCATATTATTTCAAGCAAAATCAACCGTAGCTATCATTAAGACTCTGCTATGCCTCATTTCTGCAGCTTTATGTAGTGAATATTTCAATATGAATGCTGAAGACTACAAACCTGTCTCTGTACAGAAATTTGAATATATAGCTGTACTTCTGTAAACAGTTTAACTTCAGCCAAATTAACCAAATTACTCTATACCATGCATCAAGAATTTGTTTGCATGTATTTTTAATTCATTGCTTATTTTCATTACTGCTATTTTGGCTGCAGAAAGCATGGTGAAAGTTATGAGATTTTATTCAGTAAATGAAAAGCTTTATTTTCCTCAGTGTGTTGAAATTTTCATATATTTTTTGATGCAGGAGAATTATGAAGTTAATTTTTCATGATTAAAAACATGATTCTTGCACAAAATTCTCTGGTGATTTGGTAAATGATTCATAATGAGTAGGGCTGTCATGGTTCCAAAATTTTTCGGGTCGGGTCAGTTCTGATTTTTTAAGGTTCGGTTTAGGGTTTTTCGGTTCGGGTGGGTAATGGAATAAAAGCTCATGATTTGTATAATTTTCAACAACAAAAAGAATATTTTCAATTAATCTTAGAAATAGCAACATTATAAGAAGTTTAAAGTAATTTGCTGACTAGAAAACAATTGTACCAAATTATTTAAATCACCTTATAATGGTAATGTACTAACAAATCTCATTTTTGACGCCATTTTTCTAGTAAAAACTTCTCTACTATACAAATCGGAACCGAACCGAATTCCAGAAAAACGGAATCGTACCCGACCCGAATTAATTGTTCCGCGGTTCCTGGTCATTTCGGGTACCCGTGACAGCCCTAATAATGAGGCATTTATAACTTAATCTATACAAGGGAACTTTATTTCACAACATTTAATTTAATGATTTTCAGTGAGAATTAGTTTATCACATACATTTTAATCCAGTGTACAATCTATTCACTAAACACTTTATTTGGTTTTGTGTAGGACAAGTTTCCAGTAATTCCAATGCGTCTGGATCCAGGAACAGGAGAGCCCCTCCTGTACCCCCTCCCCCCAAACGAACGACCCAGTCAGGAGGCACAGCCAGCTCTAGCAATCAGGCCACTTCATCAGCTGCTGCAAGTAAGTCCTACATTGTACTTCATATTTTACTTTCAATTAAGCAAAAACCAAAAATGTCTTAAAATGAGTAATTCAACTTGATCTTTTGGAAAAGAATAACTCGTAAGTCATTCTTTATAAAAATGGCCAGGTTCTTCAGGTACAACCCCAGTAGCTCAGCAGAATGGTTCAGTGCCAGTAGTGAATGGTACAGGGGGAGCAACTTCTTCAGAGGATGGAAATACAGGGCCAGCAGGGAGCCCCACACAGGCCCAGCAAAATCAGTCCACTAGCAATGAACCTCTCCCAGCTGGGTACGAGACACTATTGATATCTTCTTAAGGTCTGGAAAATTGATCACTGATGTCTTTTTGTTTTAAAATTAACATCTTTGTTGTATTGGTTTTAGTTGGGAGATGAGAACTGATGCTCATGGACGTAGTTATTATGTAGACCATAATACACGCACCACTACATGGGAGAGACCACAGCCACTGCCCCCGGGGTCAGTCTTAAACTGTCTTAACAATTCATCCTCTTACTATTTAATTTAACGTTCCATTACTTTCATAGAAAATGTATTGATTATTATAAAGTTATTTGTTTATAATTGACCCTGTTTAATCAGAAGTAATTTCTCGCGGTATTATTCCTGTAGGTGGGAGAGACGGGTGGACCCTCGTGGACGTGTTTACTATGTGGATCACAACACACGAACAACAACGTGGCAGAGGCCCAACACCGACATGTTAAATAATTACAGCGCGTGGCAGGACCACCGCAATAATCGCAACATTGCTCTGGAACATCTGCAGAACCGGTTTCTGTTTCCAAATCCTCAAACTGTGGCCCCAGATAATGATCCTCTCGGACCTCTACCTGATGGATGGGGTGAGTTTGATAAATTGATAGTTATCATTTGATTATGACTGGGTTTTTTAAACACGACATGTTATGAAAAGTAAATTACTATAACATGAAATGAAGAAAAGAGGTTCGGATTTTCTAGCCAAATAACATTTATGTTTTAATTTTTGCAGAGAAACGTATAGATCCGAATGGGCGTGTGTATTTTGTGAATCACAAGAATAGAACCACACAATGGGAGGACCCCAGAACACAAGGGTAAGTCTAACAGCAAAATTTAATTTTCTATGAGTATGTCCAACAGCAAATGTTTTGTTTTTGTTTTTAGTTTTGTAGCTGACAATCAAAAAAAGAAATGAAACTTGCTAAAGGGCACATATCCAGAAATATTGCTAATAAATCCATGTCATCAAATATTAATACACATTTTCCCCCAAAAAATACATTCAAACAGAAGTCAGGACAACAATAAGCAAGACAAACATGATTCATATATCATTGTATGGTCCAAAATCCCCTCCATATCAAGTTCAAGGAGAGTTCGGTCATGTTTGACTGGGGGTGCATGTGTATGTGCAAAGTTGTCCATGTTCTTACAAGGATGATTTTTAGCTCACCTCAACGAAGTTGGGGGAGCTTATGTAATACCCTCGGCGTCGGTGTCGGCGTCGGCGTCCCGGGTTAAGGTTAAGTTTTTTGGAGCAGTTTTCTTTTTAAGTACTTCTATGTCCTATATTGATTAGACATGCATGGAAGATGGTTCTATTGTGTTTTATTGTACCAGTCAAAGTTTCAGATGCTGCAATTTCAGCAAAGGAATGACCAGGTTAATGTTTTGGAGCAGGTTAACATTTTTGGTGCAGTTTTTGGTGTAGGTTTCATTTCCAAGTAACTATAAGCCCTATGTTGACCTAACTTGCATGGATGATACATCTAAGGATGCATACTACCGGGCTTGCTTCGGATGCTGATTCTGACCTACATTTTCCGGTTGAGTGAACAGGTTAAAGTTTTTGGTGCAAGTTTCATTTCCAAGTAACTATAAGCCCTATGTTGACCTAACTTGCATGTATGATACATCTAAGGATGCATACTACAGGGCTTGCTTGGGATGCTGAATCTGACCTACATTTTCCGGTTGAGTGAACAGGTTAAAGTTTTTGGTGCAGGTTTCATTTGCAAGTAACTTTAAGCCCTATGTTGACCAAACTTGCATGGATGATACATCTAAGGATGCATACTATAGAGTTTGCTTCGGAAGCTGAATCTGACCTACATTTTCCGGTTGAGTGAACAGGTTAAAAATTTTTATGCAAGTTTCATTTCCAAGTAACTATAAACCCTAGGTTGACCAAACTTGCATGGATGATACTTCTAAGGATGCATACTACCGGGCATGCTTCGGATGCTGAATCTGACCTACTTTTTCCGGTTGAGTGAACAGGTTAAAGTTTTTGATGCAGGTTTCATTTGCAAGTAACTTTAAGCCCTATGTTGACCAAACTTGCATGGATCATACATCTAAGGATGCACACTACCGGGCTTGCTCGGATGCTGAATCTGACCTACATTTTCTGGTTGAGTGAACAGGTAAAAGTTGTTGGTGCAGGTTTCATTTCCAAGTAACTATGAGTTCTTTAATGACCAATCTTGCATGGATGATACATCTAAGGATGCATACTACCAGGCTTGCTTCGGATGCTGAATCTGACCTACTTTTTGTGGATGAGTGAAAATGTTAGTTTTTGATGCATGTTTCATTTCCAATTAACTATGAGCCCTATAATGAGCAAACTTGCATGGACGATACATCTTAGGATGCACACTAATGGACTAACGGATGCTGAATTCGACATACATTTTTCAGATAATAGACCAGGTAAAAGTTATGGGTGCAGGTCTATTACCAAAAAACTATAAGGCTTATATAACATTGTATAAACCAAACTTGCACAAATGTTGCATCAAGAGATGAAAACTCTCAAATTTGCTTCAGATGCTGGATTTTGATTACATTTTCATGAAGAAGAACTAGTTTAAATTTTTTATGTAGGTCTATTGCAAAGTATCAGATCAAAATTGCTTAAATATTTTCATATTTGGAATGTACACTTTTTGTTGGTTAATTGTGTGACTTTGCCTTACTTAAAGACAACATTCGTTGAGGTGAGCTCTGTAATCTCTGATTACCTATGTTTATGGCATTGAGGAGAGCCCAAATGTCATCTTGCCAGCATCCCATTGAAATGGCTAACCAAAGGAGTTAGTTGATACATCTGAAAAGAAATTAGCATCGTATTTATTTTCTAAGATGCTCACAATGAATAATTACTAGAAAATAAAATTGCTTATTCACACAAGAAAAAAGTTATAATTGTTGCAGATGAATTTCTGTATGCAACAAGTGTAGAATAATTACAAAAATTACATAAATATGAATTCTGGAAGACTAAAAATATTGAATTTCAAAATTAACATAAAATAGCCCATGGAGAATAGGAGAACCCTGATTAGAAATGATTTGGATACTGTAAATTCCTAAATATATGTGTGGAATTAATTATCGCTTAATTTTGCAAGAAGCACCACACACAAAATTAAATTACTCACTTTTATTTCTATGTTGCTGAAATCTTTGTTAAAACTCTTGATCAACCGTCCATTTGCGGATTCTTATTCTTGCGATTTGCTGTTGAAGAGCCCATTCACAATAAAAAGTACTCACGAAAAATAAGGAATCTACAGTAAACAGCATGAGATTTTCATGTATATCTATTTAGAAATGTTCATTATTCTTAAAAAATCTCAGTCTGCTTAACCTTTAACATCGATGATTATAAAGAGTAACTATGATTTTGTTTTTCTCCCCCTAGAATTATACAGGAGGACCCCTTGCCTGAGGGCTGGGAGATGAGATATACCGCAGACGGTGTGAGATACTTTGTAGATCACAACACCAAGACGACAACATTCCAAGATCCCAGGGGAGGGCAGGGCAAAGGGTGAGTATATGTATCATACACATTCAAAAGTGAGGGCAGGCCAAGACAACCACACTCCAAGATCCCAGGGGAGGTGGTGGGGGGGGGGGGTGTATTGAATTAACAAGAATACAGTGGGAGTATATTGAATTTACAATATCCTAAGGGAGGGAAAGAGAGTATATAGAATTTAGAAGATCCTGGGGAAGATAAAGGAAGGCAGGAGGAGAATATTTAATTTACAAGATCCCAGGGGATTTTAGGGAAGTATATATGTTGTACAATATATAAGGGAGGGTAGGGTAGTAAATATATCGTAAAAGATCCTAGGGGAGGGAGAAGGGGAGTAATTATAATTTACAACATCCTAAGGAAGGGTAGGGAAATAAAAATATAAGTTACAAAATCCAGGGGGGAGGGCTGTTTATAATTTGCAAGATCCTAAGGAAGTGTAGGGGAGTAAATAAAATGAACAAGATTGTAGGGGAGGGCAGGGGTAGTAAATATGATGTACAGGATCCAAGGGGAGGGCAGGGGAGAACAATGTATATATAATGTAAAAGAGGAGGCTAGGGGATATATATAATTAGCTTAGTAGTTATAAAATGTCATACTTAGGTGACAAGGTGATGAACTCACTGGTTATGTCAAAAGTCACTGTTTTCTGATCAATTGTTTTGAAAAATGATCATGAACTGCAATTTGTTAATAGAAAATATATATGCCAGAAAGATTGTTGCATTAAATCATCGGATAGGTTGGATTTTATTTTCTGTGTAAAAAATTTAGAGCATTTACCAATAGTATGTTGCATATTTAGCAGTTCCACCCCCATCTCAAAGATGCCACTGTTTAAACATATGCACTCTTCTCTCTACATTATTAAAAGAGTTGCTTTGCCTAGCCCAATACAGATTTCAATTTCACACTGCACATGACTGTATTATGTCCCTAACTAAATATATAACAATTTCAGCAATTTAAACCATTTCTGTTTTAAGTTCAATCTAGTCAAAGTAATTTTTATTTAAATTATGCTTTTTTTATTGTGCTTAGAACTCCTTACTGTCTATAATTTATTCCTGAAGGGAAAAAATTATCTGCAAGTTTTATCCTTTTACATTATGGAGAGACTCTTTCATCTCATGAGAGAAACGCTAATTGTATTATATATTTATATTGATATGTGTATCATGATATAGTCCCAGTGTATCATGATATACCACATATGTTAGCTGTATGGTTCCCCCTTACTATAGGCTGTATTCTAGGATTCTATCAGATTATTTTGGAGGAATATTTTGTCCTTGACCCACTTATTAGCTGGCCAGTTTTTCACCAGAATCTGTTGCTATTTTTGGATCAGCCTTGGATCTTCTCTGTCAGCCAATGTTCTTTGCTGAAAAGTTCTTTTATAATAATTGTTTAAGGGGGGACCTATGTCCGAAAAGTCTTTGTGTGAAATTTTCAAAACTTTGACATTTCTTTCCTGACCACTTGCTTTTAATTTTTAGGTATTGAAAACAATACCTTTATGTGCTTATTTTTACACAGGAGCACGTGCAAAAACAGTGTGAAATGCTAAAAATAGATTATTTTCAGACATTCTTGTTTTACTCCAAATATGCGCTAAAAAGAACCAAAAATGTCAAATCACAATCGAAATCAACATTTATTTAATTTATATGACTTGTATCTTTAAAATGAAGGCAAATTCATTGTAATTCATCTCGCATGAAAAATTATAAAGGAGCACAATGTAAGTATCACCCCGTTTTTCTTGTCGTATTTTTTACAATTCCGACATGCATAACAGGTAATATCTTAAAAAGTCTTTGTGTGAAAATGTTGTAATTAATATTTTTTGAAAGAATTCATCTCTTTAATTTAACAAAGAAAAAAGTATACCTTTATGATATAATAAACGAGAAATATGACGTTTTCTTTTATTTTCGTTCTCTTCTGTCATAAACATTGACCTTTCTGCACTAAAAAAGGTAAGTTAGCACTGACAAACATCTGAATATAAATCTATTTTGCAAAAAACGAGTATTTTGTTTTGATAAGAAATAATTTAAACAGATAAACTCTTTTCTCCTTCATTCCATTTATTCTGTCCCCCCCCCTTTCCCCGTCAACAACCAACACCTATAGAACCTAGGAATGACATAATACAATAAAATCTACATACACTATAAATCAATAAAATATAGGTACAAGTACATTTCTTAATTTCTTTTTAGTTTTATCCAGAAAATACAATTAATGGTAATCATAAAATTAAACATATTTCCCTGATTAAAGCCACTGTCTTTGCTGAATTTTATCTTATAAATTTTGCATTTTTATATCAGCATATCATGGAGGTATATCTTCACAACTGAAATTGCTATGAATTATCAACCAAAGGAAGAGAATTCTAATATTAACAAACTCCATAAATCAAATAAAACTGTTATAAATGATGAAAAAAATTCCTTTTGTAAACTGTGTACGTTATTGATTAATAACAATGTTATGCCTATAGTCACAGTTGCAAAAGTCAGCGGGAAAAAACAAACGTCGCTATTGTGACGTCACATAACGCTGCTTTGACGTAGAACGACATAGGTCCCCCCTTAAGTTCATATCATACCCAAAATGTAAGTTATATCTTATCTTGACTATGTGTTCTCTCCAGCATGCAGTCATATTTATACTATACTCTCAGATTAACATGATTAAGATGCCATATGATGAGAAACAGTATTTTATTCTTAAACTTTTCCTTTTGACAGCTCGTTATTTCCTCTCACTTATTGCCCGGTGCACATGTGTAATGATCCTTGTAGCAAAACAGTAATGTGGAACGTCAAATGATATTTAAACTATAAATTTTATCACCAAGTGTAAATAATTTTTAATTTTGATGATATTGAAAGAAAAAAATTTAGTGAAATACAAAAAAAGGAAAAACACACAATATCAAATAAGTCAAAATAGGGGGAAATGGGCATATTGTGTAAAGGGGAATAACTTTGATGAAAATAAATCAGACATTAAGGAGGCAACTTCTATTAATCAGAAAAGATTTAATAAACATGTTTCAATTTAATGAATTATCACATGGGAGAGATCCTTTTGATGAGGAATTAGAATCAAAACTCTTAATTTTCCCATGAATATTTAATTCAGGATTGAAATGTCTTAATTAAGTGACAGAAAAATTAAAAATCATTCATAGGGAAGCTACTGAGGAATCAAAATAGGCACAATTTATTTTAATGAGAAAAAAAAACCCATTTGAACACAGAGCTCTACCAAATAGAAATGATTGCTACCCAAAAGTATTTTAACACAAGTTTTTTATGCTGTTAATTTTATCACCAAATGTAAATAATTTTTAATTTTGATGATATTGAAAGAAAAAAATTTAGTGAAATACAAAAAAGGAAAAAACACACAATAGTAATCTTGATATGAATTATTGCAGCAGTATCATTTAGGAAATAAAAATAAACTCTGATGACATACATTCAGTTCAATTCACTTTATTGACAATTACCATGTCGGCATACAGTCATGAACATTAATAACGTAACACAAATTAACACGATTAATACATGCATATTCAAAATGAGAAATATGAGGTGAACAAAATTGTATATTTTGTATACATAGAGGTAATGCAAAATTGTCACAAAAAGTTATTTTTATTAACAAGGAAGTTTAGTCTTGTATGATGGAAAATATATATATACTTCATTTATTAATAAATTATTATATGTAATTTGAAAAAAAAGGGGAAAAAATATATTCTTGGTTATGCAGCCCCCAGTGAGGATCGAACTCACGACCCCTGGTTTACAAGACCAGTGCTCTAACCACTGAGCTATGGAGGCTTACATGTAGACGTTTCACAATAATCCGCTTTTCAACCTACGGCTGACTGTTTGTTCGCTGTATTGATTAAGTGGCTGTATGATTCACCGCTTCACTATGCCTTTACAAGGGCCCATTGTATGGCAGTCATGCCATAGGCTATTTTTAGCACCTATTGTGATAAGAGATTTACCTTTACCTGTATGAATACTGTGTACTTATATTTATATACACACCTGAACACAGGTTTTAAAGGTAAACCAGCTGATAATTGGCTGCCTAGTACTCTATACAGGAATAACATGCAGTGGAGTTGAAGTGCCCCTATAGCTCAGTGGTTAGAGCACTGGTCTCGTAAACCAGGGGTCGTGAGTTCGACTCTCACTGGGGGCAGGTTTTTTTTTTCATTTTTTTTTTTCAATTATTTAATTTTGGGCTTCTATAATAACATAATATTTCAAACAGTTGTCCAAAATTAATAGAAAATGAGAAATAACCATGCCCTGTCTTTGTTTAACAAAGTGTAGTCATTCTGTCAGTTGCCTTGAGAAATAGTGTAGCAGATGGACTACATTAATTAAAATGAACCATGAAATTCAGTGTATGGTCATTGATTATAAAAATTGGGCATTTGAGTTAGTTAATGAATGTGGGAAGGTTATACAGTTGATTAATGTTAACTGATAAGCTGTCATTAGATTGGATTTAGATAATTTTCTGAGCAGGGAAGTTAAGAGTGTTGAACTTTTCAATATCAAACCAGTGTCTGTAGAGAACCTGTAATTGACTTTATAACTTGCCTGATTTCAGACCTAAGGGGGCCTATGGTGTGCCTTTACAGTATGAGAGGAGTTTCCGATGGAAGCTGGGACAGTTCCGATACCTGTGTACCTCCAATGCTCTGCCAGGCCACGTCAAAATCACAGTGTCCAGGGATAATCTGTTTGAAGATTCGTTTCAGCAGGTATCTTAGACATGGCGATATTTTTATATGACATTTCTTATAGCAATCAGACATTAAATGTATATACTAGTGTTTCTGTTAGTTTCATGAAACAAACACAGGAAATGTAATATATCACTATGCTTCCTGCATGAATTCTCAAAGTGTGCAACACATAAATCCAGATGGCAGAAGTTTTACAAAATTAAATATTACCAGATGTTGGTTGAAGCAAGTTCTTATATTCAAGTCTTTGCAGACTAATTGCAGAAATAAATGTTTACTGTAGAGTTGATGATTAGCTGTAATCAATAACTGAGATTTTGTATCGACAGATTATGAGATTGCAGCCCTTTGACTTGAGGAGAAGACTGTACATTATATTCAAGGGAGAGGAAGGTTTAGATTATGGGGGCGTGGCAAGGTAATGTATTACCTCCCATAACAAATCATGTAGGTTTCTTTGTAGAATATTAATAATGCTAAATTAATTGTTATCACAAATTATGTCATTCATGCAATGACATTGATATAAATTATCCACCAATTTTTATAGCAAAAAAAGCTGAGACTGAGAGAGAAAAAGAGATGTTAAAATCTTGGTATTGCTTTACAGAGAATGGTTTTTCCACCTGTCCCATGATGTACTGAACCCTATGTACTGTCTGTTTGAGTACGCCAGCACCAATAACTACTGTCTACAGATCAATCCAGCCTCCAGTGTTAACCCTGACCACCTCGTATACTTCAGGTTCATCGGCAGATTTATTGCCATGGTCAGTACCTTGCTCTTGTCTAGTCAAATTTTAAGTGGTATGGAATGATTGCAAAGAAATCTTGTATTTCTGTGAAAAAAAACTTTATGAAAATACTCAACTATTTGATAATTTGAAAGCTAAAAAAAATTTAATGCTATGAATTGTAGAATATTGACTGTCCATATTTTAGCAGAAGAAGAGTACAAGAAATGTAACTCAATTTCATGATAAAGTTTTCGTTTTGTTAGCTCTACTGGTCAGAGACCAGAAGAGCTTATGCGATAGTAATGCGTCCGGTGTCCATCCGTCTGTCTGTCCGTCTGTCTGTAAACAATTTTTCAAAATGCTACTCCTCCTACAGTTTTGGTCTAATTTCAATATAACTTGGCACACAAGTAGAATACACTAAGATACATAATTCTGTGTATCGGTTTTTGATTTCGATGAACGGTGTTGCCGTGGTTACTAAAAATAGAAATTTCAGTGAAATTGTTTCAAAATGCTACTCCTCCTACAGTTTTGGTCTGATTTCAGTATAATATGGCACACAAGTAGAATACACTAAGATACATAAATATGTGTATCGGTTTTTGATTTAGATGAACGGTGTTGCCGTGGTTACTAAAAATAGAAATATCTGTAAAATTGTTTCAAAATGCTACTCCTCCTACAGTTTTGGTCTGATTTCAATATAACTTGGCACACAAGTAGAATACACTAAGATACATAATTCTGTGTATCAAATTTTAATTTTGATGAACTGTGTTGCCGTGGTTACTAAAAATTGAAATGTCTGTAAAATTGTTTCAAAATGCTACTCCTCCTACAGTTTTGGTTTGATTTCAATATAACTTGGCACACAAGTAGACTACACTAAGAACATAAAGAGACTTTATCAACGATCATTATTCTATATATTGCTGTTGTAAAGTTTCAAATCCCAGCTGCTTAAGTACTCTTCTCTTCCTTTACTGTAAGTTCAAACCAGTAGAGCTTCAGTCTCGACAGAGACTTCTGGTTCTGTTTTCCAGGCACTTTACCATGGGAAGTTTATAGACAGTGGTTTTACTCTACCTTTCTACAAGAGAATGTTGAGCAAAAAATTATACCTAAAGGATATAGAAACGATAGATCCCGAGTTTTACAATTCTTTAGTGTGGATAAGGTATGGTTTATATATTGTAATTCCAATCTACGATATTTGTCCTCTCTATTTCTTTGGAATTCACAATTTTTGTAAGGCAGTTAACTTGTTTGTGTGATTATGATTATGTGAGAATGTACTGAATTTGACTTGATATTCCTTCTGTCTGTATCATTTATCATGTTTTATCCCTTTGACATGTTGTTAATAGAATATGTTCAAAACAAAAAACCTGTTTTATGTAAGAACTTTGATTCCAGGGATAATGATATAGAGGAATGTGGACTTGAGTTATTTTTTACTGCTGACTTTGAGATCCTGGGTAAAGTAGAACAACACGATCTGAAAGAGGGGGGATCTGAAATCAAAGTCACAGAGGAGAACAAGGAGGAATACATAGAGTAAGACATTGTCACCTTTATATTCTCAGCTTTGTAGATTGAGGACTACATTAGTAATTGTAAAAGAGCAGGAGAAGGTCCATAAACTGTACAGTTAGACCTGTCATAACCACTACCTGTATTTACTGACTTCCTGACTCATGCAACCAGTAATTACCTCACCAAATAATATGTTTTGTAATCAAGATTCAGTGATGCCATGTCTAATGGGGCATAAAATCATCATTTTCAGTTTATTATCTATGTTCACAGCAAATAAATGCCCCTTAAAACAGGTTTGACTGTACTCCATTTTGACAGTATGAAAATCAATATTTTACTCTGTGTGTTTTTAGCTTGATGACAAACTGGCGGTTCTCTCGTGGGGTGGAGGAGCAGAACAAGGCATTCTTGGATGGTTTCAGTGAGGTGGTGCCCTTACAGTGGCTACAGTACTTTGATGAGAGGGAACTGGAGGTATGTTAACTATATTATCTCTGTATAAAGATAGCATGTTTTGGAGAGCAAGTTTGGCTACTATCATTGTCACTTATTGATACTTTTCTGTTATTAGTTAAAGAAACAAGATTAAACAGATCAAACTCTACTAAATTCTTCACATCAAAACTCTAGCATTAAAATAACTTCTCTGAAAATTATTTAGTAAATGTTCTTATAATGATGATAAAATTTTTCAATGATTTGAACTTAACAGGTATGTTCTGGTTCAGAGTATAAATTAATCTGTAAAATTTAATTTTGAATTGAGAGAGTGTCCATTGTTGTGTGTTTAAAAAGTAAACAATTTTGATTATGGTAAAAATATTCACAGAGCCTTGTCAAAGTTACCTCCCCTTAACACAGTTCTGTTTTCTTTGTTAGTTGATGCTGTGTGGTATGCAGGAGATAGACGTTGATGACTGGGAAAGAAACACAATTTACAGGCATTACCAAAGAAACTCCAAACAAGTTGTCTGGTTCTGGAAGGTAAGAATTCACTGGAGGGATCCAAAGGGGTTAAGCTGATAATTTGAGAGGACATAATACATCTTGTTTTGAGAAAGATTTTTTTCATTTGCATGTACCTTCGTATTGCTGCAGTCTTTTGGTTATGTCATTTTAATTCTTTTCATTATTGGCTGTCGGATCTGGTCAATTATTTCTTACGGATATTCAATGAAAATTGAGCAGAATTTAGGACATTTTTTTAAAATTGTTCTGAATTTTACCTTTTTGTAACTTTCTTACATGTGTTTCTTAAATTTGATGTCTCTTTTAAAATGAAAAATATTTGCCTTTACAATGATACAATCTTTTTCTGTATAAATTTCAGTTTGTACGGGATATTGACAATGAAAAGAAGATTCGTTTACTACAGTTTGTCACAGGAACATGTCGGCTACCAGTTGGAGGCTTCGCAGAACTAATGGGTAACTAGCTTCTGACTTCATGCCCTTAATTTATTGGGAGAAATTCTGATGAGTTGTAAAGGATTAAAAATACAGTAATTTCAGTAACACCTCCTGCTTTGATTTAAAAAATTATCACACGTCACTTAACACATTACTGTATAAGGGAATTTTTCACCCCTATTTTATTGTCGCCCCTTAGCCTTATCCTTCTCTGGCAAAAATAAATAGTACAGTATAATTTATTATTCAACAAAATTGGGACTGAGTGAATTTTAGAAGGGACAAAATTGTTTTCAAGTGTGAACTGGCAAAAAGTAAGGGGCAAAAATAACCCTTAAACAGTATTTCATTAAACATAGAGATGAGTGAAGGAGGAGCACTTAACAGTGCTTTTAACTCTTTGGGACAAGAATGTAATAATTTTAAATTACTGAGTATTATAACACCTGCCAAATCTATACCCTACAAACAGAGAGATTATTATAGAAATGGATATCTAACTACTGATATTGCTTTATAGGGAGCAATGGACCACAGAGATTCTGTATAGAGAAGGTCGGCAAGGAAACCTGGTTACCAAGGAGTCACACATGCTTTAACAGACTAGACTTACCTCCCTATAGAAGTTATGAACAATTATTTGAAAAATTAACAATGGCCATTGAAGAGACTGAAGGCTTTGGACAGGAATAGCGACTAGATTTAATTACGGAGGCAGTCTTTCAGATTACACCTGGACTCTTTGGACCATCGATCACATTGATGGAGAATTTTAAGATGATCTGTGATCCCCCTTTTTCCCCTTTCTGTCCTAGACATTACTTTTGAATGGTTATTTGTTGTGAAAATTTTTCTTTTGCTAAAATAATGATGTTTTTAGAAGAACATGTATATCATTCAATTTTTAATTTTTAATGTTGGAAAAATTATGTTTCAATGAGAAGTGTAGGGTGTTTTTTTTTTTTGGATTGTGTTTAAGTGAATGTACTTTGATAATATATATTATTATACTGTAGATTCCCTAAAGACTCTTCATTTTAATACTTAATTTATAAATTTTTATGTACAATGAAGAACAAAAATTACCATCCATCAAAAGTGGCAATATGGATGATTTATATATAATTAAATAAATGAAGGCCAAAATTAAATTAATTTTCTTCTCAGGAAATATGCAAGAATAAATTTCTTACTTTTGATCAAAAGGAATCTACAGTATCACAGTCATTTATTTTTTTTTAATTGTTAAAAATCTTACCGGTATTTTTTTGTAGGATTTATAAGAAACCAAGAATATATAAGGCATATAGTTGACTGATTCATTTATCAGATGTTGTTAATCATGGATGCATGTGTTATGTGTGTGAACTCAGATCCCAGGCCTTTGGAAGGAGGGACAATTCATGTCGGAGGAGGAAGTCTTAGCTTAGTTTTGTTTGTTGTCTGGGGTTTTCCTTAGACTGCTATCCTTTTTATTTGCAAATGGAGCATTTTATAAATGTTCTGAATATTTGACTGTGATAGGTCAGAAACCATGCAGATTTTCTTTAGATAACAAATTATTGCTTACCTTCAAAAAGATTTGTTTTTTTAACTTTGTTAGAGGAGACTTAAGCTTCTCTCTAGGCCTGTGTTCTCCAGAATACCAGAATTTGGTGATAAATAAATCCTTATTGTCATTAGCTGAATGCATTTTTTTTTTTGGTTGACATAATGACTTTTTTTAATGAAATACATTGAGGACTTTGTTCAGTTTAAATACACAGTAAATATGGATTAAGATATGACTGAACATTTTGTCTTTTTCAGTATTTCTGCATGTGGTGTTTGGGTTTCTATTTTAAGGCATTCTGAAGGAGCTTTGTCCCATTAAAAGGAAGGAATCATAAGTATATGTGGCAGACTCATTCCAGTGTAAGGAGAGGGCTAAATGAGGCATTGTGCCTGCTGTCCTATCCTATATTTTGTTAAAAAAAAACTTGTTTACGTTACTATGCCATAAATGTCATACATATTTATGTCATATATATTTATTTTGTATAAAAATTGATATGTTTTGCAGTTTTCAATTAAGATAAGAAAGACAAGTTATCTACCCTTGGTACTCCAAGATAATGCACGAGTTAGATGTTGTCCACTTTCCTATGCCTCCCTCCCTGATCTAATAAATTACATGTATTTATCTCATTGCAATCAGCTTGAAACATGCATTGTACGTCTTCCTGGAAATAAAAATCATTTTTTGTTGAAGATGAATTTACAAATTGAATTTCAAAGACCTACAGAGGCATATCTTAAATTAAGCACTATTTAAAAATGTATGTCATGTTTTATAATACATATCCATCTCCAGTAGTCAGAGAATCATAGGACCACATAACCTTACAAACTTTTATTTTTTGTCTAAGCATGGATGTGCTCTGATCTTGTTGCAATTGCATTAAAAAGTTGTTGTGACCTGTTATTATTTGTAATGCAATATTGTACATTTTCTTTTGAATGAGTTGATGTAAAAATGTATTCCATTATTTATTACAGACATTGTTATCAAGGCACAAAGCATCTCAATTTACGAATGCGGGTGGGTACGACCCTTTTCGACCCGAGTGGGTTCGACCCGCGTGGTTTTGACCCAAGTGGTTTCGTTCCGATGCAGTATTAATTATAACAATTTCGTTTTGGGGGTCTAATTCAAAATATTCAGATTTTTTTAACCGATCGTGACTGTTTATTATTTAAAATATTGCATAATAATTACGTTTATTTAAACCATTTATTATACATATATAGACAATAAATTCGTATATTATCCCACAAAGAGCTGATTAGTTTTTAAGGAAAAATGTTCAAATATAAATTCTTTATATTTTTCAAATGAAATGAATTGCATCCAAGTTTACTATTGACTTCAATGTTGACAACCAATAATTGACACGTATCCCTCCTTGAAGCCATACAGCTACCGTGAAACCATGTGTATACCTAAGGTATACACCATACCTTATAGTCTGAACCCCTCTATATACCTGTATGTATATAATTATAAGTAGGTCGAAACCACTTGGGTCGTTACCATGCGGGTCGAACACGGAATCGGGTCATAACCACTCGACACTTCAATTTACAACACTATGAAAATACAAATCAGTTTGTTATTGGAAGAGTTATCTTTCTTGTTGAACTTGTTTGTGTAATTGAGCATATAGTCACAGTGAATATACAGATATATCAATAATCTTTCTCTGAATACAGCGTGTGTTTGCTTTCTTTTGATTTCCCAATACGTTGACCTTCTATCTGTCTAACATGTGTTGTTTTTATTATGACATGTAAAATATTGATTAAAACGATAGTAAAATTGTTATCAACAGGAGGTCAGTCATATAAAATAATGAAATCTATTATTGTTGTTGTTGTTGTTTGAATCAAACAAGTCCTGAATACCTGTTTGTGGTTGGAAATCTTGCCCTTTTAATTTGAAGAAAAGATAAATTCAGTAGTAAGTGAATACAGTAAAACAGGCTTTTGTTGAATTAATGCTTACAGAGAAGTGTACAGTGGCTCTAAAATATATTGTGAACTTACTGATATTACAAATTACTTATCTACCGAAGCAAATTCACCAATACCTGGCTCTATGTTATAAGTGTGTTTTACTGTATTTGTGACACTGGTCAACAGGATAAAAAAGTCTTGCTAACGAAGCTGGTATTACTGGTACATGTATATGTATTCCTGAGTAATTTTATGTCCCATGTTTGCTAAACTTGCATGTTTGATATGGATGATGTACAATAGATACTTCCTTTTAGACCTAGATCATGAGCTAAAGCAAATATGAGCTAAAAAATCTGGGTTGTGTCTTCCAGAGCAAAGATAATTTAAATCAGCCTGGAAGTTAAGTATTTGGACCATCAGATTAGAGATGCACTGGAGCCAATTTCAGGTTCACTCAGTGATAATTTTTCTTTCCTGTTGAATGAAATGGTGAAATTAACTACACATGTACTGCATTTTATTAAACATTCATTTTGAGTAAGACTTAACTTGAATCCACATGTTTCACTTATCCTAGTAGATTCCTGGCTTCAGGGGCACCAATGCTGAGATTTTCTCAAATCTGAGATTTCTCAGAAAATTTCAATATTTGAGTTTTTCTCTTTGAACTGTGCCACCAAACATATATTTTCTCAAACTCGGACTAATCTTTTGGGGTTTTTCTCAAATTTGAGATTTGTATACTTTGGTGAACCATTGCAGTTTATGTGTCATCTAGTTTGGGATTTTCACACTATTATAAGAATATATTGGATAATAAGACTATAAAATAATAAACTTTTGTCAATTGATGTATCTTAGATCAATAAACAGTCACCTATTTTTGGAGATTCATAGCTGTATCTCAGTTTTACAATACTAAAGGGTAGGAATCATCAAGCTTTCTTAGTTGACTTACTTGAATTGTGTCAACCAAAATCTAGGTCATCATTACCTCGTTTTTGAATTCAAGGTTATATCTTTCATTCATCTATCAGTTGATGAGTCTTGGGTTACCTGAGAATGTTAAACAAAATGTTGGTCAACATGACCTACTTTTGGAATTCCAAGGCTAGGGGCCCGTTTTTCAAAAGAACTTACGACTTAATACCAAATTTAGTTTTTCCTATAACTTTCTAAACAACAATATTGAAAATGATTTTAATCTTTCTAAAAGGAATGTAGTAAGATATTTTTATACAAGCAATTTTAAACAAAATCAATTTTGCAAAATGTTACAATCATCCTACTTTTGGTTTTTGGTCTTAGTCGTAAGTTCTTTTGTAAAACGGGCCCCAAATCTTCATATTTTAGATAACAAGGCTTAGAACCATCCACCTTTGTCAAATGATGCATCTTTGGTTTTGATAACATATAGGTCACCATGACCTACTTATAAACTTTCATGGCTTTATCTGAAATTTCAAACAACAAGGGGTTAGACACATCAATTTTGTCAGTTGATGCATTGTTGGATTTATTCTTAAAGAGTTTCCATTATTTTCCTGGAATATTAAGTTGAATTGATCATATTTACGATACTGCCAATCATGTAATAAATAAAAGAACACAACAATTTCATTTTAATGATTTTTATTAACATGTTTTTTTTGGTTTGTTTTTTGTCATCAGTATTTAATAACATGAAATGCATTAAAGAAAAATCTGCATGTAACAATGACATATAAAACATGTGAATGAGGAATCTAAAGGGGGTCTAAGTATTGCTGCTTTTTTCAGTTTTTCCTTCTTCAAAGTTTAATCTCTCTAGATATACCTACGAATATTCTGTTCAATCATGTCTCGTTCTGCTTGATCTCCTCTCATGTTGCGTATGTAATAAAACTAGAATCAAATACCCCTAAAAATATCCCAGGAAAGTGATTTGTCAATTTGCTATTTAATGAATGGGACTTCAAATTTCTTTAAAAATTGGACAAATCATTTTTTGACATGAAAGTTGACAAAATACCCACTCAAAAATGGCTATATGATTATCTCCCATTACACAACATTAAATGCAAATGCCTTTTTTACAAAACAGAACAATGATCATATATTCACACAATAAAACTGGTTAACTATCCAAAATGGCACAATCATATAAACAGAGCATCAGGTCATAAGTATTTTATACTCTTCATATTATACTCTTTTTTTGACAACTGGAGACTTTTCTTAAAGAAATAGCCATCATTTAAAGATTTACAAACCATTCATAAAGCATTACATATACTAACATGATATATAGGTCATATTTATTCTGATTCAAGTTTCTGAATGCAATTTACTTAAATTGATGTACACCAAAAATAAATCTTTTTTCCTGTCATAAGGTTAAGTACTGTACATTTTTAAATCAAAAGATTTTTTATTTCTTTTCTTTCTCATTTTTACCATGTATTGCCATGATTAAAATACAAACAAATACACAACCCTGATTTCTTTGGTGCCTGAAAATAAGATGTAAAACAACTTGCTGTTTGATAAGGCCTAAAACTATGATAAAAATATATGATAAAACATAATCAAAAAGTGCTGAAAAATGCATTCCGGTGTGTTATCAATAGTTTGCAACATGAACAATCTCACATAAGTTTAATTTCTTCAAAAATATACATACAGCACTATCATAACTACGCAACATGTGCTACATTGAGCAACAATAAACATGATCAGGTACACATACCTACTAACATATACAACTTCTCAGGGTGGCTTTTATTTCAAACAATTCAATTTTATTTTATATATCTATATTGCATTTTTTTAATAATTTTTTAATCATACTTATAATGTTACTAAAAATATAACTGAAACCAGAGCATTCCAATGTCAACTCTAATAATGAAACAAGATGGCGGCTAGTAAAATGAGATCACAAGATCAAAGTAAAATAATAAATAAAGATCAAGTACTGGTAAAATGCCACCTGAGTTTCAGCTCCTTAAAACATCAAGTGCTTTAACACTGTATTATGTACACTAAACCTTAATTGTAATTCTACTATTTCTAAGTTTTTTTCCCAAATAGGCACAGCATGGATAACAAAATTTGTGAAAAACCTTGAACAGCACCATAAATAACACGCAACTCATGGCAAAATATCACATTAAAACAAATCGTAACCATAGTAACAATAAACATACATACTCATACCAATATACCAACATCACACAGTTTACAAATTACAGAGATTTTAATACTTAATTTCAACATTATAATACAAAATTATAAATGCCATGCTTGGAAATTCATCAAAATAGCACTATTCCTTTCTTTGTTTGCGAATTAATGTTTGCAGTAAATAAGTTGGGGAAATAATTACTGATGATGAGGTTTGATTTTAATGTATTCCATCTGACAACTTGGTACATTTTTCTATCAAATATTTACCCATACATGCCTATTAAATTCAAATGTCCACTCTGTTTTCTTTAAATTTTACAAAGACTGACTGAATATTGCATGTTTAATGTGGGCTTATTAATAATGACCACCCTCCCTCGCATTCACCTCAGACAAGCAAGCTATACAAAGTAATGTGGACAAATAACTGTTGGGACACAAATGTTGATATTTTTTTAGATTATTTAACAAGATATCCAAATAGTTCAAAACATAAATTGCTTTCAATAGTTTTTATACAACTTTAAGAAATATTTTCCTTCTTTGTCATATTCAGAGTGTCACTATACCCCCCCCCCCCAAATGAAATAAAGCCCAGCATATAAACAATGCAACAGTAAAAGAAAAGAGATTGCAAAATTACAACAAAAGCCAAATGCTCAACTCATAAAAGCTTCATGTTTTCTTTAAGAACTTTATAGTTAAATACTTCCAGTACTCAGACACGTAAACATAAATATACTACCATCCAACATAAAAATATTCTGTAAATGCTATCTGAAGCACAAAATGGTATGAATGACTATCAAAATTTAAAAGGTACAAACAAGTTACACTCATGTAGAAAGTCTCAATATGTTTATACAATATTCAATAATAAAAACCCCGTTTAATACAATGTTTGATATGAATAAAATGACACATATTTATGTACAGGTTGTGAATCCATTGATTCTTATTAAAGGTGCAGTTTCTTCATCCATTTTCGACATTTGTTAAAGGTGTATTTCACAAAAAATAGCCACATTATTTATCTGTTCTAAAAATAAGCTGATGATATAAATATTCTGTGATGAATCAGCACTTTTCTATAACTGAGAAGGATGTCCACTTTGTTATTTAGAGTCTTCAGTGCTGGGAACCAATGAGATCAGGAATTTCTGAAATAGCTGCATGGGAATTGTCAATGAAACAGAAATTTATCACTTGTGTCTCAGAAAATAAATACTTTATTAGATTAAAACAACCAATCAGAGTTCTGCAACCAAATAGGTCGTTACCAAGGAAACAAAATGTTATTTCAACTGAAGCTGATGTTTCTCAAGGGCACAAAAATAACTCATTTAAAGGCAAAATATGCAAAATAAAATTAAATTTGCCTCAATTCTTCTTTTCAGTTTATGTGCACAAGTGTCAACCTGGTCTTTGTCTGGAAGCCATTCAAACACTCCCTCAATCTCTGATGAGACAGATTATATTCGTACACAAAATCTATATTTAGAACACTGTCAACACTTTTCCAATCATAAATTTGTCAGAAAGCAATCGTGCATGCTAGAACTGTTCATTGATTGCTCTGGTGCTGTTAAGGTAAACATCACCACATTTCTCCTATAGAGAGAGAAATCCTGGCCTGTGACAGGGCTTGACAACGTTAACTGAAGCTATACTCCATGCTATTGCTTTCCCCAGTGTTAAGAGGCTGCCTCCGGAAATGGCGATAAAATTTGTTTCCACAACTCACATCTGATGGTCACTCTTTTGGTTCATAATTCAAGTGATAATGACCTACAATAATACACAATGGTGAGAATAATGATCTGTGATTTATAGCTAAGTCTACAATATAAACATAGTTAAGCAAAAATTGGACAATTCAAATGTTCAGTTGGTAAAAAAATATGTATCAACATGTAAATGTAGACACTCGTGTTATATTACTAATTTAATTTTAACATTTTAGACAAGTCAATTCATATTTATTTTCAATGACCCATACCTAATATAGATTCCATAGAGCCCTCACTACAGTCATTGCCCACATGATCGTGAGATCCACAGTTGTAGCATGTGACAACTCGAGGTTTCTCCTTGCGCTCCTTAATACTGTTACTCCTCTGAAGGCCCGGGTTAAGGATTGGTCCTGGCACATTATTGGTGGGGCCAGACAGGGGGGGACCTGGGTTGTGAACGTAATTCTGATGGTGGTTGTTCAGCAGGTACTCCTGAGGGGTCAGACCGTTCAGATTGGGAAAGTGCTGGAAGTGGTGATATGCCGGCGGAATGAAATGAGGGGAGATAAGTCCATTTGATGACGGTGTCATGGGAACTGCTGATAACGGCCACAGCTGCTGACCGTGGAACATGTGACTAGGGATGAAGTGAGCGTAAGGATAGGAGGGGTTTCCTGAGTGACCCGGGCACCCACAACTGGAGCAGGTCGAGTGAGTGGAGGAGGGTGGAAGCTGCATATTTGGGGTGGATGTTGGAGTGCTCTGGGGCTGTGTAGGCAAGGGGGGCATGGTTTGTTCCAGGGCGTGGGGATTGTTAATGGAGGATTCGGAGTAGGAGTGGGTCATCTGCGACTTTAAGCCGTTCATTGCCATCGGAGAGGTGATGCTGTTGGACATGGTCACTGAGGTGGAATTAGTCACGGAGCACACGAATGTCCGGGGAGCAGCCACAGGACGAAGTTGTTGATATGAATAAACACTGATCCGTGGTTTCCCTATATTGTCTAGATTACTAGTTACTGAGGTAACATTTGATGTAGAAGTTATTGTGGGGGCCTCTGTTCTTGGAATGGGAGGGGCCATTCCTAGTGGAATTACTTGGCCTCTTTTTCCATAAACAAGACTGTCCAATGGCATGCTAATGATATTATTCGGTGGGATCGTTTTGCTTGTATGTGCAGGCTGTGCCTTGGGGGTGCGTGGAGCCATGTTTATCACAGGGTAATATCCTGAAGGGGAGGGATCTGACTGGTACCCCCCTCCAGTGAGTGTGGCCAGTCCTCCCACATCATACCCGTCATAATAGCCATCTCCTGATGCTGTCTTGGTAAGTTTACGAACATGTGGAGAACCATGTCTCTGATTCTTCTCTGTGAAAAAAAAAATACTGAAGTCAAAACTGTTGTCCTATATGAGTAAAGTGCATAATAATGAGTTTACCATCTGTTAATTTTAAATAAATAGCTTATTAAATTTGTCTCAGAGATTTAAAATATGTACAACATAAAAAGATTATTCTTACTGAAACAGAACTTATATGCACGTACATAATTGACAAATCATTAAATGACACAAATATATCCCAATAAAGACTTCTGTAAGCCTCTTTTTGTACATGTATATATATTCCGTAAGTTTCATATCTCAGATCTTTCCGACAGTTGCAGTTTATAACAACTTTTCTCACCTTTCTCGTTGTCCTCTGAGGAGCTGTCCGTCTCTTTAGTGGTCAGGGTCTTCTTTTTCAGTAGCGGGCTGGGTAGGGGGCTGGAGTAGTCGGATCCTGTGGGGGAGCTGTCTCGGGTGGAGGTCTGACTAGCGGGCAGGACATAGGGATGGGGGGTCAGGACGTGCACGGGGTGGTGGGGTATCCCTTGGAATGGTGGCTGGATCATGGCTGGATTCCACACCGTAGGTATCTGCTGACTACCAGAGGTCACCACTATGTGGTCAATATAGCCATTGTTAACTTTATCTCTGAAATAAAAAAGTAAAATAGGATTACTGAAGAAACAACTTGAGGTACTGTAGTTTTTCTAGTTTTGTGTCATTTTTCCTCCAGTGATCTTGAACTTTTCCTAATGATCTTGGGTCATACATGCATGCATGTCACATTTGTCATGACCAATATTTTGTCAAAAAAGAACCTTTAATTTTTCTCTCAGAGAGTGTAAGTCATATTCCTTGTGTTTGTCTATTTTTTACTAATTTACATATTAATTAGTGAAGTGTTTTAAAAGTAGTCTTCTACATGATGGCAGGTAAGAAATACTTCTCAGTGTATGTTTCTATTTACTTGTTTAATGCAAGATCTGCTCGGATTTTAGCTGCCTGCTCAGGTGTCAATGATAAAGACTCATTTTCTTCACAGCTCCAATTCTGCAATAAATGTAAACATAATTTTAAAAAATGTTTAATATGAATCAAAAATTCATTTAACTAAGCTTGAGAAAATAAGAGACATGATTTTCTAGAGAACTCTACAGGAATTGTGTATGTGTGCAACACTGTGTGTGGTCACTCTAGACAGATTCAGGAGCATTATTAGAGCTGCAAAGCCCATAGGGAACCCTGCTCGCATATTGATTAATTATCTTGCATTTGAATCAAGCTCTGACATGACCAGTCTACAGGGGATGCTTACTCCTCCATGGCATCTGATCCCACCATTTTAGAGGTCCATGTTGCGTCTGCCCACAATCTGTATTATAATATGGTCTTTTGCACTAAATTAGTTTACTTCACATTTCTCTCTATAGAGACTGCAGGGAATATTTTCAAACACATTTTTTCAAGTGTTTTGATTACATCTCCTTTTTGAAGAAATTCTGATTCTCACAAGGAAAAATTGAAAATCTTTTTTGTTTAAAATCAAGATAATCTATGCCAAGTTTAGTAGAAACTGGTCAAGTGGTTTAGGTCTAAGCTAAATCTTTTCTAGTTTATGAGTACAAGAGATAGAAAATTGAATAGATAGAGACATCAGAAAATCTTTGTTCACTTGAGTTTCAGCTCAGGTAAGCTATATGTACCATGGGAATTGTTCCTTTGAAATAAATTTAACTCAGCAATGTGTACCTTTATGGGTGGAGGTTTCTCACTGCAGTTCTGACTGAGGTTGACTTTATTCATCAGACTGGTGACTTCCTGTTCCGCAGGGGAATTTGAGCGACTGTCAGACAGCGGGGAGCGGCTGATAAGCTGGGGGGAATGACTGGGGGACACAGGGGGAGGTCTGAAATAGTCATGGCATCTCAGTGCTATTTATATCTTGCATAGTAAACATGGTAAATGTGGAATACCTTAATTTCTTGTCAAAATCCAAATTGATATTAATTCTTAATTTGAAAACTTTGGGGTATAACAGCTCATTGCTAGCATATATATCACACAATGAAGGGTATAAAGGTTATAAGAATGAGTGTAAATTAAAGGGTTATTGGTATCAACATTTATCAATATGTTAGCGTACCTCTGATTGATAATGTAAGTACTAGGGTATGGAGCCAAAGTTTCCATTGGCTGTGTTGCTGTAAATGAAAATGGATTCATGAAATCACAAATTATATTTAATCAAGTAACTTATTCTTAATTTTTTAAGAATTGAATTAATTTGCAAATTGTTAAACATTATAAAACACCTGCTAAGAAAATTGAGTCTACTAGCCTAAAATATCAAGACTTGGTTGCAATTCTAAAATATATGTGATACACTGAAAAAGTACAGTTTACATCAAATTAATTTTTTATTTCGAGTATTTCTATCGCTGTATTTTTTATGAACGTACCATCCGGGGAGCTATGACTGTGTGTGTTGAGAACTTGGGGAGGTTGGTACAGTATCACATCATCTGATTCTGTAAGATTATGTAGTCTTTTAATGTTTGACCTTTCCCAAATAGGTTAACTTGTTTCAATTTTCAAGATATCTTTTATCATATGATATGACTATCATCATGTGTGTTCAGAAAGCTTCCACCATTTATTATATGAATTAGACAGAAAACTGCCCTTACCACTTGAGACGGGGCTATTATTCACTGGGGTAGATGACTTTGCTGTCAGAGACTTTGGAACACCATCTCCTTTGAAAAAATTGACTACCAGTTCGCTACTTAAGATGGTCTTTTGCATTTGAAGTAGAAGTCTGGAAAAAACAAGAGTAAAAGGAGATACATGCACAGTATGATGAAATTTTTTTTAAAGTCAAAATATTCATGTATTTTACAGTAAGTAAAACATGTACATAATACACTTAATAATGAAAATAAATATATGTGATTGCTTTGTCTTATGTTACATGACCTATATATGTAGAGGAACTTACTTTGTGTATTGTGCTATGGTCTGCTCATCCTCTTTAGATACACCGGTACCTGATGTAAACAAAATAACTGAGATAATCAAACATACAATGGACTGTATACATCTTCCTATTGATTTCTGGGTAACAAGGACATTTAGGACAAAAAAATAGTTCTAATTCTGTGTGTTCTCACACCGATTTAAATTCCCGGGAATCTCTATCTCCCTTGGGCCTCATTATTATAATTCTTGTATCTCCAGTACATAACAAATGTTAGATTTAAATGCCCAAAATTGGTATTGATTTTTCCCCTTATTATGATGTAATAAATGTTTTTTTATTACAAGCAATAAAAAACACTGAGTTTTATATCAACATATCTTTAATATCTAAAATATTGATTAGTTGGATTTCAAAAGGTATTACTAATCCATGCTAAGAATAAATGCCTATGTTTATCACTGTAGACATGATACCCAATGAGATACATATACCATGTGACACAGTATATAAATACCTGGGCTTCCTGAGAAAAATGGCAACTTCCTGTCCTGTTTTGGTAAATTAGCTTCCTCTGGAAACTGCTTCACCAGCTGAAAAATTGGAATTAACATTAAAAATGTCCATACATTTAATACTACCCCTTAATAATAATGTGTAAAATTCTCCTTGTCTTCATCTGACCATACATTTGGATAATTTTTATATCTTGCAGTGTATGCTTAGTTTTTCCCCTACAGTGCTCATCTTTAGCATTATCAGACAAAAAACAGTCAGCCTATGATACTATGATATGGTCACCATAATTCACCTCTATGAAAGTCAAGTTCTTAATAATGATAAGAAATAACATCACCATCTAAACACCCAACATAAAATGAACCAATACGAGCTAATAATAAATATTCTCAATCAGTATTTGTACACAGTTCATTATGAAGAGCAAATTACATTAAGGTGGTGTTCAAAATCTATGAAAGGTAGGGGATGAAGGGCATTTTTAATGAATTTTAACATGCAAAGAAATCTTATAAGAACTCCATTAATAATATTTGTAAAGCATCCATACAATACTCTTAGAGTTTTTCACTGGGACATGAAATATTAAATAATATTTGCAATGCATTCATCACAATGATTCAGTAACCTGAGACAAGCTTTTGTTTTACAGGTACATAATTTTTACTTGCACTCTGAAGGTTTTGAATTTCTTTGCCCCATGCAATGGTTGCATCCCAACTAAACAACTGCATTACTAATGTCAGTTACACTTGCAAAGTCATGAAGACATATCCCTAACTGTGAATTTATAGGTCAATATATTAGCTCAGCCTCTAAGGTATGAGTTACAATCAACAGACTACATATATTTACCTTTGAATGAAATTCTTTGAAGTCCTGATAGGTTTTAAGCACCTCTGTTTTTTTATTGTCTTGCCATGTTACCTGAAAATTAATTATACTAGCATTATTACGCCATCACCTCAGAAACATTAATAGCTGTGGTTAAGGATCCCCTCACATAAAACCATGATTGATTTGTTCAGTTTTTTTTTTTTTTTTTTTTATCAGAATACTTCACAAACATATAATAGTATACATATCAATACCAATACAAGACTCCATTGTTCATTACAGTTGGGTATGTGCATTGAAATGTTTAATGTAGTTTAAATCAAGTTAAGGTACTGCTGATTAACTTAAAGTGGTAGAAATAAACAATAATGTTAAAAAGTTCTCTGGGAAATGAACTTTTTGGTCACGTTATCAAATCCTGTGAAGCCCAAAGGGCTTCTCAGTAGATTTGATAACGTACCAACTAAAAGTTCATTTCCCAGAGAACTTTTTAACATTGTTGTTTATTACTTATATTTACATTTGAGACGAATTCCGAATAAAACTGTATTTATTACACAAACAGACCGCCGTATTGCTAAGTTGTGACGCACAATGACCTAGGGGGCCTAGAAGTTGTTTGGTTTAAAAGTTCGATTTGCTCCAACATTTGAATACATGTATTTACAATGATGTTCAGCAGTCCAGTTCAAGAATTCTGTGTTTATAATGTAAGAACAATGATCCCCACTGAGAATAATCTTACTATTCTGTGAGTTTTTAATATATTTGAAGTCAAAAGCAGTGATATCCCCTGTTTTAGTTAACATAACTTCAAAGGAATTTCAGGTTAAAAGGTAAGTCCGATTTTAGGCTGTAATTATAGTATTTAAAACATTCTTCACATCAAAGGAAGATCTATTGAACATCTGTTGAATGAAAGTATCTGTATGTGTCAGTTATTTTACCTTTTTCATCGCTTTAAACTTGGTAGTTCCGAAAACAGACAGAAATATATGTAAACAAGATATCACCTCACCGAGCGATTAGGTCGCGCTATGACCTCTGACCCCTAAATAAAGTTCACACAGAATTGAACATATTTTCTCTTCAATAGATTCATCTACGAAAGAATAATGCAAATGTAAATATTTAGTAATGATCATGGTTTGGTAATGATTAATATTAGATGATATTGTGTAATGTTGATTGTTAAGGACAGGGCTCAACATTAATGCTTGTCTGCTTGTACAGTGCCAGTGATTTACAGACAAGTGAATATTGCTGGACACTTGTCTGATTGCACAAGTGCAGTTTAATGTAAAAGGAGTCTCTAAATAATAAAAAGAATGACTGGTGAAAGTTTATTGGTTGTTTCAAGATGGAAGCTGTACATAAAACCGGATTTCGACCCTGATAGGGATCGCTTTTTGAGTTCACATTCAATGAGGATCAAAGTTCACTAAATGCATACTACTGGAAAGGCATGGAACTTATGAGGTTTGGATTCAGTTTGATGTTGACAGGTTCACTTGTGAATTTTTATGTTGTTGTCAGGACAAAAGGATGGTTTTCTTTACTGTTTGGTTTTACCGATTACCGTTAGATGGTTATTACTAGGGATGTCAAATCGGTCAATTTTTAGTACTCGGTTACTCGGACGTTTTTCCGATCGAGTACCCGGGTACTCGGTAAAAAGTGTAAATAAAAATGAACAAGTATATTGCTGACTGTAAAACATTGTACAAACTCTTCGACTTGTAGAAATAAAACCACATGCTTTGATAGGAGGTTTTTAAATGTATTTCTGCTGTAACAATGATAAGCACTTCGTGCCCGACGAAATATTAATTTAATATAACATTTTTTTGTTAAATATCAGATAAACACAAGAAATAAAACCATAAGTGGTTCACACTGTGTTAGTTTAAAAAAAATACTCGTTCCATAATTGTAACTCTTTGTTGCGTTTGACGTCCAGGTATCAGTCGTCAGAGCTACATACAGTATCAAGTTGAACTTGAACTTGATCCGAGTTCTCACAACAGAGCGGATTTACGATTTTCGCACACTTTTTCACTCCAATATTTTATAGTATTACGGGAAGGTATTTTGTAGTTTGGTGCAACGATCGACATCATGTTTTAAAAGTCTTTGCCTTCAACCATTTGTATTGGCGTGTAATCAAAAACAACCATAGCAACAATTATCACGTGTAATATCATCTGTCTCGTTTTCGAGAACTTACGGCTTCTCGGAGAATTGACAAAATTATCTAATTTATTTAAACATAATAGACCTTAAACGATGTTCAGTGAAAACAAATAATTAAAGCAAATCAAAAATAAGGGTGAAAGACAGCCAAAGCTGAGAAAAGCCAGGTAACAGGTGCTTGGTCACGATAATTACTGTATATAAGGCGATAACGGTTATTTACATGTAGAGGTGTGGAAACCCTAATTACTGTATGTACAGATGCAATGAACATTTTACGTTTTAAAACAGATTGTTTAAAGCGTTAATAAATAAGCTAAGAAATATATATCCGAGTAACCGAGTACTGATTTTAGTATTCGATACTCGGACGTTCGATCGAGTACCCGGTTAACCGGGTACTCGTTGACATCCCTAGTTATTACAGTTAAAAGGTTGTCCTGAAAACTTTAAGAAGGTAATCATTTCAGACAGGTGGTCATTATCAGGGTATCTTTTTCTAATCAGTGGCACTAACAACCACTTAGTGGTACTGACAACTGCTGCAAGGTACCAATCATCATTCAAATCTACCAATGACATACTAACCTGTATTTTATACTCTCTCCTTCTTTCATGTCTATGACTCTTGTCTGCCTTAACCACATCCAGGTTGCATATATGATCTGAAAAAAAAAAACAAGAAATGTCAAGATTACTTAACCAAAAACTCTGATCAGCAATAAAATGCTGACTTAATTTATACAATGTACACTTCAGAAAAATAGATCTAAAAATAATAATCTATATACTACTTCCTTCATTTAAAATTATATTCATTTTTAAAGCAGAATGCATTAGTTTCCATATGAATTACACATATGGTGTCATTATCCTTGTGTGTGAGAAAATGTTAAAAATCCCTTCATCGATCTTCACCTTGTTTACATGTTTCCACAGCAACTTTAAAATAATTTACCTGATTCCTGCTTGCATCTGGGCTCCGATGGGTTTTCTGGACGTGATTCATGATCAACCTACAATAAGACATAACAGACATTACTACATTTTCAAAGAAAAATGTCAAATACATTGTACAATACTTTATCAAACATGCAAATTATATGAAATATAAACAACTTTGTTCTAAACCGATCAGGTAACATTGCCCCCGTAAAGTAAGCTACCTATTAAGGGGAGAAAAACTACCTTCAAAAACACTGTCATCCAGTTTCTGTTTACAAGAAGATAATGCAACAGTTTATACTACCCTGTACACTCTTGATGATGATTAATGACAATTCAGAAGAGCAATTTCTCTGATATTTTTCTCTCAGCCCCCCAAAAAGTGAAGTCTTATTGCGTTCTGAACACTTTGTAAGCAATGCATTTGGAATCTTATTGTTTGAGAAGAAATGATATAGTCACTTAACACACATCCCGAATCAATGGTTTTCTGTGTGTCCTCTGAGACCACCAGTGCAATGTCCTCCCTCCTGAATGTTAATGATGTACAAGATGTATGCTAACACTTCACAGCGTGTTTTTCAAGGACTTTGGAGAATGAGCTACGGTTTTCTTATAAAGATCAAGATTTTCACTAAATCTATAGATTTTCTAATTTTCTTCAATCATAGCTTATTTTCAGGTTTAAAATGACCACAAGATATCTTAACACTAAGACAGCAATAAAAACCCAACTGTACATATGCAGGTTGTTTGTGTGGTTACTTACATATAAACTGTATACAATCTCGGTACTGATAGTGTATATAGGTAATTACTGTTCTAGTTTCTAAGACTGTGAGTCAGTGTATTGATATGAAGTAGTACATGCAGTAGACAGTGCCAAATGTCTGCAAGGTGAATAATAGGATATAACAGTCATTTATTCAATTCTAACACTGCGACTCCAGGATTGCTGTTATGAGTATGATTTACCATTAAAAAAATTTACCATGAAATCTCACTCAATAAGGAATGTTTCACCCATGTTTCACTGAATGAATTGAATTTTCTTAAAGAATTTTGTAGGATTATCATAACATCTTACTAAATTGGTAATGAGATACATAGTCATACGCATCGTTTAAGGTGGTAGTGGTGGGGGGGGGTGTCTTCTTGTAATTAAAAAAAAAAGTTTATTTGGTATACATACATACCATGCAAGATACCAAAGATAGCCCATGATAGCTCAAAAGCTTATTTCCATGACATCCTTTGCACAGATGTTAGCACAAAGGGGTCAATTCTGTGAGAAAGGGTCTGGAGTACCCAGAGAAACCTCTGCATGGGTGACCACCTAGCCCTCTCCCTTACAGCCTCTGTTGATCATAGAGATCAAACGCGGAACGCAGTAATGAGAGGCATGTGTGCTACCACTGCGCTAGCTGTAATCCCTTTTCTCCAAGTTTTAATTCCATATTATTGAAACTTTGCTCAGTAAATGTACACTTCTTGTAAATATGCACTTTCTGTCTGGGATTCATCCAGAAAAAAAGAATTTGTTTGTCTGTGGTATAGTTTGTCTAATGCTCTAACATTGACAACTTTAACTTAACACCTAATCTAAGTTTGCATCACAAATTTTCATTTGAATTACAAAAAAAAAAAAAATCTGGTTTTTCGATTAATGATTACTGAACTAGGGCTTCAAATAAGTATTAACCAATGATTATGGAATAATCACCCACAATATGCACAAGGCAAGAAAGAATTTTATTCAAACTTTTGAGAACTTGGCCATGCTTTGATTTTGCAGAGAGATCTATAGATACAATTTATAATTATATATAAAGGTTTTTTTCTGCATTTATTTATATTTTGCACTTGTTTTGATAAAATCAATCTAAGATAGAAAAGAAACTTATGTCAGATTTTGACTCATTATGTCTCTTAAAAAGCCCCAATGGCCATGCATATGTCACAAATAACTGGAATTCAAGATTCAATTTAGTTTTACCACCTGTGTAATTAGATTTACCGATTGTCCAAGTATTGGTTTCGCAACATTCTTGTAAATGTCTGTGATTAAATTTTTGCAACCCATAAAAACAGTGCAAGCTCTAACACAGATCCAGACATTTTTTTCTACAGCTATAAATGAGAATTTTCTACTTTCTTTTTACATGCTTTTTCTGAGAATCAAATATGAAAGCTCTAGTACATGTACCATCTACTTTTGATTTATAAACAAAATATCAAAGAATTTTATGGTGAAGTATATATCTATTCAGTATAGTGTGAACCAGTATTTAATTTTCCGCTACACACAAAATGTGACCATCTTTCACCAGGTTTCTACTGATGAAAAAAAAAGTTTTTTGACACACATGAATTCCACAGCTCTAAAAACCTTGATCATTTCTGTATTACTCTACTCTTTTCTAAGACTCAAACATTACTGTACGAAAGAATTAAGCAGCATTTGGAGTCAGAACTGAAAAATCGAAAAAATCCTCATGCACAAAAAGTTTGTACCCTGTTCTTACTTCTTAATTGTTATTATTAAACTCAAACTTATATGTACTTTAAATGCACAAACAAAAGCATTCTGGAGACAACATCCAGAGTTTTGTATAAATGTATGTAATACAATACACTGGGAAACTGTCGAAAGATACCTTGTGTTTAGTACATACGTACAGTATACATTACTAATCACTTTACTCCACTACTCATTTGCTGCACTGAGTGTTTATTTCAATTGTGAAGAAAACCATTTCACCTCTTGTATTTGTTAATTTCTCAGTGGGTGCAATGACCTTGACCCTGTTTATTGCTTTTTTTTTCAATAACAGTAGAGCTACTTTGCACACGCTTTTTTTTTTACTTGGTAGCTTCTACACCAATTTTACCTTTGATAGTACTGTATTTATAACAATTACAACTAAGTGTGAACCATTGGGGAAGTTCAACATTCTTTTAAACTACTACATGATAAATTATGTATATTCATTAATGCCTGACAGTGCAGTGCTAAGAAAGCTGTAGAAGAAACGTCTGTGATAAAAACCAATAAACAGGTCCCTAAATGCATATTTCACAACTGCAGATCTTTAAAAATAAAACATCTCAATAAAAAGTTAACTTAGATCTTTATGTGCATTCAGATTGCAATCTCAAAGTTGAAAACATGTACATAATCCATGACAGCAAGCAATTTCTGCAATAACAACTTTGATGCGGCCATTTGACTGGTGGAAGCTGGCTTCAGCATCTTTCTTGTAATGTGATACTCTGTCAATATACAGCTCCTTACCTTACACAACAGACTCTCCAGCTGCTGTTTAACACACACATAGTAATTACACAATTTGGTTCTTTGGTGAAATGAAAATGCTGGGTGTCTCATAGCCATCGTCAACACAAGCAGGATTACATCAACACTGTCTTTTTCGGTTGATGGCGTTACTGAGAAAGCTCGTTTTAGATTGTTTTCCAAGATATCAAAAACAATACTGGCACAGTGCGTGTTGTCTGTATGAAGCAAAGCAAGATTCATCGCCATTGCGTGCTGTAAATTCCTTATATCTGCTGAATTCTGTTTTAAAGATTCTAGTTCTTCTGGTTTATTTGCTTTATTTTCCTGTTCTCTGAGAAATATATAGTCTTTTTTACACAAATCGACGACCACAGAGCCGATAAATCGAAGCTCGGGGCCTAAACACCTTTCAAGCATTCCACATAGTATGTCTATTCTTTGGTGGGGGCTCAGTGTCCCAAATTCTACGTATAACTCATCCAGGTCTTTACCAACCATGTTATAAGGAACAACGTACACTTTTCCCTGTGGAAAAATGCAATCGTCAATAAACATCAGGACCTAGAAACATTCTCCATAGCACTTCTTCACTAAAAACATGGATATGAAGTCATCCGGGCATTTTCCAATGGCCAATCGAATTCAGAGATTTTTATTAGCCCGTAAATAATATTATTCTACTTTATCTTTTTTTCTTTGCTTACTCATTCCACAGTGATAAATGATATCTAAGAATAAATCTCAAATAATACAACTATTTTAAACCAGTAAATAAAGATATATTTTGGAGCATGTTTAACACACGAAGTAAGGTGCGCCATATGGACTAAAATGCCATAGTGGTTATAAATAGATTGTTAATGTTAGGCGCTCCCTAATTCTGTAAATGAAGAATGAAAAATATATATAGGTCTACCCCTCTTTACTAAAAAATCATGAATTTAGAGTATAGAGGGGTAGACCTATATATATATATATATACTTATTGGCGAATTCAGAAGGGGGGGGGGGGGGGCAAATGTTTTTTTTTTTGGTGTGTCTGTGGACCCCTAACCTGACCCCAAACTGGTCCCCCCTCTTTTCAAGATTTCTGGATCCGCCACTGCAGTTATTTATTCCCATGGGTACAAATTGCGCTCCGTTATTAGCAGACTTATTTTTATATTCATATGAAGCAGAATTTATGCAAAATCTTATGCGTGAAAAGAAGAAAACACTTGCTGTGGCCTTCAACTCAACATTTAGATATATCGACGACGTATTGTCAATTAATAATGATAGTTTCCATTCCTACGTCGATACGATATATCCTGGTGAACTTGGGATAAAAGATACCACAGAGTCCGACACTTCTGCTTCATATTTGGATATTTTACTTGAAAAAGACACTAATGGTAATGTAACAACCAAGCTATATGATAAACGTGATGACTTTAACTTTTCTATCGTCAACTTCCCTTACTTATGCAGCAATATACCTTCATCACCTGCATACAGAGTATATATATCTCAGTTGATTCGATACGCAAGAGCATGCTCTACGTATGAACAATTTCTTAAACGAGGTAAATTATTGACAAGCAAGTTGATGAAACAAGAATATCAGCAGTCTCGTTTAAAGTCATCATTTCGTAAGTTCTATGGTCGATACAATGACCTTGTCAGCAAATACAATTTATCATTGAGTCAAATGCTGACTGACGTTTTTCATACCAATTAATTAATTGTTAGTCCATTATTTATACACTGAATTGACGACAGATTTTTTCCGTTATTTCCTGATCATGACAACGAGCTCACGGCGGGTGTGACCGGTCGGCAGGGGATGCTCACTCCTCCATGGCACCTGATCCCACCTCTGATGTTTCGGAGGTCCGTGTTTGCTCTGCTCTGATTTTGTATATTGTTTAATGGTCTTTGAGATTGAATAATGTTCGTTATCTCCATATCCTTCTTATACATAATTACATGGGGGAGCGCCTATATTTAAAGCGCAACTATAAAAGATTTCGAGAAGGACTCTATTTGTATTAGGGCCTAATAACGAACAATTTGCTTTTGCAGGGGTGATTCTAGGCTTTTGAAAAAAGGGACAAAATGAATGTGTGTGGAGAGGAATTTCTTTTGCGAATAAGCGCATGATATTCACGTTATAAAGCAAAACTTTCGCGAACAATATGAAAATTTCGCGCAATAAGTTATAACCCGTAACTTTCGCATTTATTCGCGAAAGTTTCGAGTTATATACGGGAACGTTTTGCGTTGTATAACGCGAACGTTTGGCATTCATTCGCACTTTATGCAGTGTGTTTAAAACGAATATGGCATGAAAAAAATTATTAACCTGGTTCGAATTAAACTGGGAGGGGGGGACCTTCATGCAGCTTCACAGACAGTTTATAATTAATTATACTACAAGTACTTTCATCAAGACGAAGTTATAGAATACGTCATTTGCTTTCCGTTTTATGGAGGGTAAAGTGTCCTGACCCAGGTTGTGTATAGAGTATAGGCTATTCAAATTGTTTTCTGTGTTTAGCATCCATTTAAGTCTGTGTTTTACTGATTATTTATTTATTTTATTGGTGAGGGGGGGGGGTACGAAAAGGAAGGCAATTTTTTGAAAGATGGGTGGACAGAGATCAAAACTTTTTATGCCCTTACTATAAATACTATGAGCTTAAAGATATGTTTATAACAAAGTGTTTTTGACAGAAGCTGTTGAGACTTGATAATCAAATTTAAGACCCTAGTTATCACAAACTATCATGAATGGCATACTCGAAATTAATATGCGTCGGAACCAGTAATGATTTTCCTTAGTTTACCTGAAACTATTTGTTACTTAACTGCGTCCAGAATTTGGAATTTGCCCCCCCCCCTTCCCTTAAGGGACAAAAAAAAAAAAAAAAAAAAAAAAGAGTGGACGATCTGGGGAAAATGTTGTTTTGAAAAAGAGAAAAAAAGCCGACCTTGATCTTTCAGTTTGAACCTTCTGGCCTTGAAGTCAATAGGGAACTTTTTTTTACATTATAGAAATTTTAGACCTTGCATTTCATTGCAAAGAGAGAGAAAGAGAGAGAATAGAGAACTCAAATTATCTTCTGAAATATGACTGAGCTTCTGACACTGGCCATGGTCTTTGATCTTTTAACCTCAATTCAATATAGAGACCCTTTTTTAAGGTCATAATACTAGTAAGTGAATTTCACTGCAATACCTCAATGAGAAATAAAATTATTAATAACAGGAAACCATAATAAGTAAAATATCATTTTTTCCTGACTTTTTGAAATAAAACTAAAACGGGATCGAGTTATTTGATAATAGATTTCATTGAAAAGGTACATGGAAAATTGAAGTTAACACTTGGAATTTTTTTCCGCCGATCTCTCTTTGATCTTTTACCCTAAAAATCAACAGGGGTCTTCCTTATCTCACCGAACGTTATGATATAAAACAAACTTTACTGAAAAAGCTGAAAGAGAATTTCACTATTTTAAAATCATCACCCGGAAACGATTTCTTGCACATGTGTATTATTTTCTTACCTCGCCCTTTGACCTCCTGACTTGAAAATCAGTATATAGAGTTATGATATAAACTTTTATTAAAGAGGTTTAAAGAAAACTGTCATCTGAAAATGACAGATTATTGTTTCCTGGATAATGAACCATTTTAAGTTGAGTCAACACGTCGCCCAAGGCACCCTTGGCATTGTGAGGATGCTGGTCTTGCGGAATACCAAGCTTTCTCCTATACACAGGAGTAGTATATACGCTATATACTATACTACCTACAGGTTCCCCCGAAAATCGGGCTCTAACGTAGCCTCCTGGAATCAATTTCTGCGTTAAGAGAACTTTTGTTTCCTTTTCTTTGAGTGGCTGAATTTACAATTTCTGGTTGAAACAGAATGATTTGAACAATTATTGTGTTGAAAACACTCATATTGAATTTTTTTTTTCTTAAAAAAAAAGTTGATTGCCATATATTTCCATTTCTAATTTTTTCTCTCTGTGATAACTCCTTGAAAGTTAGAGGAGTTGATTTCTTAATAATTCTGCCGGAATGTAAATTAGGCAGGTCGATAGGTCAGGAGCTAAGAAGTCCTAATATGCATGCAAATCTCGTGCGCATCTGTCTCTGTGTCTGACACTAAGGAGGCCAAATATGCATGTAAATCTCGTGTGGTTGCCTTTGTGTTTGACGTCAGTGGGCGAGGACTATTGAAATTGCCATGGGAGTCCTCTTGTAATTTAAATCTATTGTCTACATTTTTAAAGTCTAAATCTACAATTTTATTTCACAATGAAATAGAAATATAAGGAATCACTTTCTAGTTAGTATAGTATGCCAGGGACATCAACGATAGTGGGAAACATGGGATAATTTATGAATAACGGGCTTCGCCCTTTATGCAAATTATCCCATGTTTCCAACTATCGTTGATGCCCTGGCATACTATACTAACTAGACAGTGATTCATTGAATAAACTTTTAGCTAAAAATATTGGCGATATGATTTTAGCATTAATATGAGGGAATCCTTATTTGTGAGAGAGAAAGAGGGCCGGGGAGACCTGGGTCTTGTGTAGTATATTTTCACTCGGGAGGAAATCCTCCTCTAGATTATATATAGATTCTCGGGGTGGGGGTTCAGGTTGGGGGTATTGGGGTGGAAAGTCTTAATTTAACTCCGGTGTATACAGCTTGAAATTTACATTGCATAACGGTGACGATCGTCAAATTTCAAGTTATAAAATTGACCTTTGAATTCATATAATTTCAATTATCGTAAGTTTGAACATTTTTTTTGAGAGCAATGGGAAGTTGTTTTACGGGCTTTATCAATATCAATTTATTTATATTTCTATAGAAAAGCCAAGATTAAAATTGAAAAAACATACAGTAAAAAACCGTGTTATACATGTACATTTTGAAAACCATTACATAATTTCACGTTTCTGGGTATAGCGTGACAACTTTATTTTTGACAATACTTTCCAAAATCCATGGCATCCATAAATAACTACAAAACAACGAATAGGGCTTAGAACAAAAATCTTAAAAATCTGCAGTCTAGAAAGTAGCCCTATATATATTGATCAGGTGGTTGGAACATCCGATCTGGTCAAATTCAGTATAAAAATAACAAAATTTATAGCCTAAAAATTAGAATGAAACACATCGACGAAAATGATTCCAATGATAGGTTATATTTGTGAAAAGAGCAATATAGCGACCATAGCATGTAAGTAATGCTGAGTTTAGATAATTTGTTGAAATCCCTGTAACAATTAACTTATTTGTCAGTAGACTGTCTCGGCTTGAAAATTGATCGCTTTCGGACCATAAACTTGAGAATGAGATTATTCTTATTCTAAAACATTCTTATTCTATGGAATGTGATTCCTATTTGATTACTTGTTATTTCTATTCCATTATTTGTAATTTGTATTCGATAAATTGCTATTCCAATTACAGGAAATTTGACAATATGATTCATATATCATAAAATTTACATTTTTTTTTTCTCGAAAACACGCGTTTCCTATTCGATGTCATTAATATTTAAAACAATCGGTTGCTAGTCGCTAATTTTGTGATTCCTTTTCGATAATTTTATTTTTTTTTAT